TGGTGCTCGCGTACCGGCGATTGTAAACAAACTGGCGGACTTGATGCAGCTTTTGCTTTGCTTCCCCGATGCGGTAATGTAAGGACTGCAGCTCGAAGTGGTTGTAGGAGATCATAACCCCCAGGTACTTGCTACAGGAGACCCACTGGAAGGCGGGGAACGATTTATTGGGCCCGATGCGCCATCCGCGAACCTGCTCGCCCTTGGAGTTTATGATCCAGCAGCCGTGTTTGTTCATCACGTTTTGGGATTCTCTACCCGCTAACTTCACCAAGATGACACACTTGCTAATGTTGACTCGTAGGCGGTGTTTGCGGACCTCCTCAAGTAGCGCTGCGATGAGCGCATGAATGGCCCTGAGGTCCTTGTCAGAGCGGATAGTCCGATGGAGTGTGAGATCATCGGCATATCCTGTCAGGAATTTCAAGACCTGCTCAGCACCGAAAAGGTCAACCAGAGAGCGGAAAAGGTCACCTGTAAGGAACGAGAAGAGTGTGGGGGCGAGCTTACATCCTTGTTTAATGCCTGCTGTGGTTTCAACAGAGGTGGAATCTCCCTGCGCGTGAAGGACATAACGAGACCCGTCATGTAGAGCCTGAACGAGATGGACTGTGTCCTGATCGGCCCCTTCTCTCTGAAGAAGGTCGATGATCTCTTGGCGAGAGACAGTGTCAAACGCTTGGCTGAGGTCAAGAGCAAAGGTGAGGCCGCCGACTAAGGCTGGGGCCTGTGTGCCTTGTTGCAAGGCATGTCTCGTGGGGTGGGCCTGTTCTAACAGGGATCGAGCCTCTCGCAAGTGATGCACCACGCGTTCTAGCGCGTCTGACAGCCCCCGACCTGGGAGATAAGCGAACTGTGGCATGTGCTTGAGGAACGAGAGTGTCAGTGGTTGAAGCGCTTCTCTGGCCGCTCCCGCCAGTCCCTTAGCGTCAGGTCTAAGGATGCCCAAGGGTCTCAAGTTTGCGGGTTTGTCAGAGGGCTTGCCCGGCTTGGGAATTAAGCAGAGATCAGCGTCTACGAGGTCGGATTCTAGACTGTCCTCGGCCTGCTTGGATGCTACGTGTTTGGAGAGGACCGGTGCAACGAGATCGCTACACAGTCTCCATACAGCCGCAGGTGCCGCTCCGTCGGGAACAGCTTTATTAGGCTTGATGGAATGTATGTGAGCTGCTAGTTTGGGCGGCTCCAAAGCAGGGAAAGCTCCATGCATTGTCCGTAACGGAGGGTGGGCCGCAAATACCTGATTGGCATAGTCCCTGAGGGCTGCTAGTTCCTGCGCTGGACCTGGTAAATGTCCTGTGTTGTCCTTTAGCTGAGCTCTGCGCGCAGGCTGCCAAGGCTGCAGCTTTTTGAGGGTCTGGAAGGAGATATGTTGGTCACCTTCAGCTAGACACGCGTCCACCTCCGATATGAAACTCGCAATTCGATCTTTCTTTGCTTGTTTCACAGCCTGGCGGTGTGCCACTTGCGCCAGCTCAGCTTCGGTTTCCGGCGGACGTGGCGTGTTCTGATTAGGAGGCTGTGCCATTGCTTTAGGTGACTCGATCAGCTGTGCTGAGGGAGTGGTGTTCGCAGCCCTGTCATGGGTGCGGGCCCGCCACATGCGACGGGTTTCCGATTCCAGCGGGATCGGTCTTCTTTTGGGAATTTGTGGGAAAAAGCGTTCTGCACCTTCCAAAAGCAACGCATTCCATGCCTTGGGGTCCTGGCAGGTGTCAATTCTGGAAGCGATCCAGTTGTGCAGGGCCTTTGCCGTATCGTCCTCCTCCCTGACTGAGGCCTGTAGAGCTAGTGAATCATACCGGCGCGTGCTGGGCTTGTGGGATGGGAGCAGCCAGTGGTGTTGGAGGGGTACGTCAGCTTTGAGTGGGTAATGCCCTCCTTTCTTCCAGCTGCCCAACGGACAGTCCACCCAAGGGGCTGACCGTTTGGCTTTGCCTCCCGCCGTAGACTCTTTGGTTAGAATGAAGTCAATTTGCGACTCCACTCCTCCTTGTGAGAAGGTAGCTATATGGTCACATTGCCAGGTGTTAAGGGCAACCAACCGCAGCCTGAGCAGCAGATTAAACAAGTTGGATTCGTCAGGGCGGTCCTCAGTGGGTGGCTTCACGTGCGTTCCCACCAATGGAGAGCTCGGACGCAGGGAAGTGTTAAAATCGCCTGCTACAATAAGGGAGTCCCTCTTAGGCACCTGCTTGATCACCTTGGACATGACAGATAGTACCTTAGCACGGTCGTCCTTATTGGACTGGATGGTCTTGGCAGAAGACCAAGCGTGTTGGTAAACCGCGACGACAACCAGCCGAGTACCTGCAATGTCTGCACGAGCTTCTAAAACCCTACCCGGGCTCCACTCCTTCCAGCGTAAGCTCTTGGGGACGAACTTGGGAGAGAATAGGATCATGACTCCATCAGCGCGAGTCGTGGATGGAGCTCGCGGTTCTTGCCGAGTGTTTCGCTTCGCTGCTTGTTTAGGCCGGGTGTTGGGTTTGGTAGACTCCGAGGCTGAGGAGATACAGTACCACCCAGAAACGCTGAATTCATTGGTCTCAGTCCAGTGCGTTTCCTGCAATATGAGGACGTCGCAGTGATGAGAGGCTTCAGCTGCTAGCCACGTTTTGAGTTCGCCCCATTGCTGTTGGCCTAGGTGGCCAGCGTTCCACGAAAGAACTCGAATGGATCTTTCCAACCTTCCTGCCCTGCGGGAGGCTGTGCCATATGCAGGGGAGTCAGCAGTCTGTGACTGAAGCTCTCTTCGAGTGGGTGGGGGGCGCACCCCCAGACGATCAACCAGGGTAGGTGTCAGCACCTGCCCTCGGTATGGTACGGGCCCGTCACTACGGACTGTCCTTCTACATGCTGTCTTGAACGAATTCTTACGAAGAGATGCAAAGTTTTGTGAGTGCACTGGCAATTGCGCCATCCGCTACTTTCGTCAAGAGACAGAAGCCTAATGACTCCCTCCCCCGCGCGGAGGTGGAAACCCTACCGCCTACCCAGTGTTGCAATGTTTTAAACAGAGTCTGGGCCCAGGAATTGGGACCTGGCGGCTCAAAGCAGCTCCTGTGAGAAAAGGGAGAGGACCATGGCGTAGAAGGAGGCACAAACCTTTACTGTTCAGAAAAGAGCCCAGTTGGGACCTCTAGCACAGCAGTTGCGCCCCAAGCCTGTTCGAAACCTCTCATTCAGCGCGGCCGCTTGAGCACTTGTGGCGGCTACCACTACCACTACCACTACCACTACTACTACTACTACCACCACCACCACCACTACTACTACTACTACTGCTGCTACTACTACTACTACTCCTGCTGCTGCCAGAACTACTGCCATTGCCACTGCCACGTTTACTATTATTACTACTACTACTACTCCTGCTGCTACTACTACTACTACTACTACTACTACTACTCCTACTACGACTACTACGACTACTACTACTACTACTACTGCTACTACTACTACTGCTACTACTACTACTACTACTACTACTACTACTACTACTACTACTACTACTACTACTACTACTACTACTACTACTACTACTACTACTACTACTACTACTACTACTACTAGTACTACTACTACTCGTACTACTACTACTGCTACTGCTACTGCTACTGCTATTACTACTATTACTATTACTATTACTATTACTATTACTATTACTATTACTATTACTATTACTATTACTATTACTATTACTATTACTATTACTATTACTATTACTATTACTATTACTATTACTATTACTATTACTATTACGATTACGATTACGATTACGATTACTACTACTACTACTACTACTACTACTACACAAGGAGAAAGTCTTTTTTGATTGAACAAAAGTTTTTTTTTGATGGGTTTCCCCTGAGGGTTTAGGGTTTTATTAGGGTTTAGGGTACATAAGCTGAACCCTGAACCCTAAACCCATGAACTTTGAGTTTATGTCCCGTGCAAGTCGGAGCCGAGTCGCAGAAGAAGGCCTTGTAATACAGCGAGGAAAAAGAATTTGTTCTCATCATCTAAAACCTCAAGCATTCCCTAAACCCTACATCCCGAACCCTATCACGCATACCTTATTGATCCGAAATTTTGTGGGGCTAACGGTCTACCTTTTCACGGAGTATTGCAAGTCATTGGGATTATGGATCTGTGCTGTTCCCTTCATTGGTCTCCTAAACCAATAAAACCTAAACCCCAACCCCGAAACCCTAGTTTTCGTCGTCGCCTACCTGTGTCATATGTATCGAAGGAATGCTGCTACAGACCACCACGGTTACAAGTTGAGGGTTTAGGATCATGATGAGAGGGAGATGAATAATCTGTCGCAGAAACCGTTAGCCTGGAACCAATCTCCCTAAACCCTTATCAATCCTTATCCAAAGCTCGTTCATAGAAACCAACCCGAAGGATTTATCCTAAGCCCCTAAACCCACAACCCTAAAATCCCAGCCGTAAGTTTCATCTCAACCGACTCAGCACCAAAAACGTGTGAGCGCCGCGCGCGACCCCACCCTACAAATCCTAAGTCCTGAACCCTAAGCCTACAAGCCCTCAAAACCCTGTAAATCCTAAGCCCCTGGCCCGAACACTCTTATGTAGGAACCTGATTAAGAAACCCTGGGCCTATAACCCCCAAATAGTAGGATTCATAAACGCCCAAGGTTCCTTAATCAGGTTCCTACATTATCATAGATTATTATGAGGCCCTTAGAATCCCTTATAGTAACCCTTCTAGACCCCTTTAAAGAAGCCCTAATAAAGGTTCAAGGTTCCTACATGAAGCCCCAAACGAAGCCCTGGCAGCTCCCAGACCCCCAAGGAATGGAAGAATGGTAGCAATACTGTTGATGATATAAATCCTGCATTACCTTAAGGACCCTAAACTATGGGAATTATGGTATATTCCTTATTATGGGTCATGCAGGATTTATATCATCAACCGTAGTAGTTGTAATTGCACCCCATTCCTAACCAAAGGTAAGAAGCACCACGAGGTATCATCCGAATGCTGAAGGAACTTCTGCAAAAGAGGGTGGATGAAGAGGAGGTCACCGGGGTTAGGGGCCTAGGCATGTTTAGGAATTGGGGGTCAGGGATGTTATTGAAGGTGTAGGGAGAAGGACCCAGAGTAGGTCCGTATTCCCTTCTTTAGGGTTTAGGTTCTCTTATGTAACCCCCTTTGACCCAAACAGGGCACCCTTTCTAATCCTAGGTTACTCTTGGGTCTAGAGGATGTTTAAGGAAGCTTAGGGTTTAGGAGTTCCTTGGCGGGGAGACTGTTGAGACACTCACTGAGTCACACCCCGGATGCCCGCTCTTGGTGTTTGGTATTGAGCTGCCCTCAGCAGCAGTAGCCTCCTTGTGGCTCAGATGTCGTCTTGTGGCCAAAAATGTGCAGGCGGCAAAGCGGGCAAAGGAAGAGCAAGAAGGGATGGAAGAGCAGGAGGAGCGACTGCGTATTTTTGGGGGTTGGGGTCCCGCACTTGATCACTTGGAACCCCTTTTGAGGAGGATGCTATTGCTCCGAGCGTTTAAAGTGCATGTGAGTAGTGTCCGCCAGTTTCCTAGTGTCCGTCATGTTTCCCAAGGCGGGGTGTAGAGTTCAGGACCGCTGCGGAGGGTTACGGTTTTGGTGTGGTTGGGAAGTGGCTAGCCGCTGGCTTGCCTGAGCAGAGGGAAGAAAGATGTACGGTGTTCTCCCCACGGGAAGTATTAAGCCCAGGGTTCAGGATCAAGGGTCCAGGGTTTGCGCTTAACCGTCTTTACACTCATGGCTAGGGCAGGGGGGCTGGAAGCCCTACGCTACCCACAACACTTCAAGGCTCTTATACAAAAATAGTCATAATAAGAATGAACAGGAAGAAGAAGACACCGAATACAGATAATAACAATACAAGCGAAGCGAACATACATAAGACAATACTTAAAACGATTGCACCATCTTACTGATGATGATGGTGATGGTGATTACGGTCATGATGGCGGAGGTGACGAAGGTGGTGATGGTGATGGCGAGAAAGATACTGACATCGATGGTGATAATGAGGCTTACGCTGCTGCTATTAATGGTGTTTCCTTTGGTATAGAACATTCTGTAGTTAATTACTGTAGTAGAAATCTGATTCCCTCACAGTCCCTACATACTCTTTTTCGAGAGCACCGCGAAGGTTTCTTTGGAGAAAATGCCACTGCACCTACTACAGCACAGCGCCTGCACCGCAGCACCTACAGCACAGCACCGCACCAAGTACACCACAGCACCTACCAGGTACCAAGTACACCAGAGCACCTATATCGCCAATCTATGTCAGGCTACATCATTTCTTAGCCCGGGGTGGGTTTGAGAGGCTTGGCGCCGCACGATAAACCCTCTACGGTGATCGTGCGGTTCGGAGCATTCTCACTGTTGCGCCGTGCGAAGTTTCAACTTCGTTGATGAAGCCTCTACAGGGATCATGCGTGTCGAAGTGCTCTTCTCGCCGTGGCGCAGTCGCAGTCACATCACAGCACCTACACCGCACCAAGACGACAGCACCTACGGCACGGCCAGATACGTGACCCCTGCAAACGTCGAAGCCATTGCTTTCGGCATCGGGGTTCTAGCTCTAGATAGAGTATGCTCGATCCCGTATTTTTTTGAGGCCCCTAGACTACACCGAAACCCAAGAGTGCGTTGAGGCATCCCGGATTGAGGGATGAGGCTTTGGGGTACAGCCTTCCCGGCAGCCCTGCAGCCCTTTGGGTTTGGGTCCAGGGCTTCCTGTAGGTGAGGGCTTTCCTGGGTCGGACATTTTCCGGGTTTAGGCGGTTTATGCCCAGAGGTACACGGCCCAAGCCTCGGAGGCAACCGTCCCGGCCAGCCCTACTACCTCAACATGCTCAAGCCTTAAACCCTCAAGCCCCACAGTCCTCAGCACCCTTGAACCTTAATCTTTTATTGTCGTAACCGGTTTGCTTCGAAACCCTCCTGCTAGTATAGGGGCCTTAATTACTAATTACTTTACCAGTTTGGGGGTTCTTATGATACTTATAGCAAATATGGGCCCCAGCACCCTATCCTTATTGAGGCCCCTATACAAAGTACCCCTTATAATTTATAATAGCCCTATGTAGCCCTTATAATAGCCCTTATAGATCCGCTTTTCTGCTAGGAGCCAGAGGAGGTGCAGGCCAAGCCCAAGGGCAAAGCCAAGGGCAAGGCCAAGGGCAAGGCGAAGCCAAAGCCGAAGCCAGCCGCGAAGAGCCCGGGGCCTTGTCTTACCTTTCTGTTTAGGGTTTGGGGTTTTAGGGTTTAGGGTTTTAGGGTTTTATGGGTTTAGGGTTCAGGGTTAGGGTTTTAGGATTTATAAGTGTTTTAGGGTTTTAGGGTTTAGGGTTTAGGGTTTTAGGGTTTAGGGTTTAGGGTTCTTTGGTTAGTAGGGAAGGGTTACTATACGGGATCTATAAGGGTACTATAATATGGGAGCCTCAGCAATCCTATAGCTTACCCTCGGTTAGCAGGGAATGGAAGAATGGTAGTAACAGTAGTGATAATTGTATCCCATTCTTCCATTCCCGATAAACCCCTTAGTTGAGGAAGGTACCTTAAATTATAGTAGGATCCCTAACATGATTTAAGGTATATTTTCTCTAATTATGGGCTATTGAAGTCTCTAGGTAGGAGTTTAGGGTTCAGGGTTTAGGGTTGAGCGAGGGAGAGAGAGCGAGAGCGATCACAAAGCAGAGCTACCTCGGGTGTCCCACAGCTAGCAGCTAGGACCTCTCGTCAACCCTGTAAATATGGGAGTTTCCGAAATAGGGGGACCCTAATATGGTACCCCAAATAGTAGGATCCTTATCATAAGGAACCCAAAATATGGTACCCCTATTTTCGGAAAGTCCCATATGTGGAAACGGACTTTGGAAATCAGTGCCGTGACCCTGATGGAGGGATCCTTAATGAAGGGCCGTAAAACCTGCTGCTCTTGAAGCCTGCCAGTCATCTCTATCTAGTCTAAACCCGCAACAGGACGGGACGTGTTCAACAGACGCGCCCAGGCCTGCGAACTGTACGCTACAGTAGAAGCCCAAAGGTTAGAAACCCAATAGCCTCCATCCTTAAGAGTAGGTTATAGGGAATCCGAGCACTATTTGGCCTTAATCCGGTTTCCAACTTTATGGGGTTTACCGTAAACCCTAACCGGAGCGCCTGTAAGTTTCAAGCCACTCAAAAGAACTTGGCTGACTGTCGCTGGTGTGCCTGATGTCAGTCATGAAGACACTTGCCCAACGATCACCTTGAGAAATCCTTCGCCCTCAACTAGGCAGTTCTTGAAAATACTGCTTACTATTCAGGCGTTTAGCAGCAATGCCCACAGCACCACAACCCCCTTGACCCAGGCATGGAGCCCCAGAAAGAGCGGAAGAATGTCTCTACATCCGGGTCTTCAAAGAAGAATGCGGTTCCCGAGGAGGAGGGTTGTGTCGCACAGAGTGTAGGGTTCAGGGTTTATGTTATGAACTGGCTCCCTGGGCGATTGCACAAGTCCTGATGCAAAAAAGGGTTCAGGGGCGGTGGACAGCAGGGTTCGCGTGGTTTTGTGGAAAGGTTTACATAGGTTTAGAGGTTTAGGGGGTATGGCAAGCAGCGTTATTGGTATTCTAGTTGGGCCTACGAGTCTTCATGGCCCAAGTTGCTTGACTCAGACACTGCCTTCTCCATCCCCCATCCTCTGTGCAGGCTTCCTGTACTTCAGAGTCCCAGGGTTTAAGGGCAACTCAACATCCAGGTCAGGTGTTGTATGTAGGCGTCTATGTTGAATAAACACATAAGTTGATGCGGTATATATGTACATACATACACAGAGAAAGCGATAGAGAGAGAGAAAGAGAGAGAGAGAGAGAGAGAGAGAGAGAGAGAGAGAGATAGAGAGAGAGAGAGAGAAAGCGAGAGAGCCAGAGAGAGGGAGAGAGTTAGACAGACAGACAGGCAGACAGACGGACTAGCGTTCTATGGACAGGTAGCCATGTAGGCACTTAGATAGGCAGATAGATACACAAACTCACCGGTCGATAGATGGACACACAGACAGACAGACAGATAGATCTACACATGCATACTTGCTTCCTTCCCTTAATGCTTTGTGTACTTGCCTGCTTGGTTGCTTGCCTGCCCTGCTTGCCTGCTTACCTGCCTGCTTGCCTGCTTGCTTGCTTGTCCTTATAAACTTCGATAAGACTCCGCAGAGCTTGTGTAAAGCCGATACCCTGCCCATCATCCCCTGCCGGTTTGCAACGGTTCGTCGAAGAAGACGCGGTGTGCTCCCATTGTATTTTGTTTAGAGGGATTCGGTTTCTGTTTAGGGGGCTTATAAACGGATATGGGGGCTCTGCAGGGGACCTTTTTGGGACTGACAGTCCAATCAAGCTTTGTGTTGTGGCAGCCGCTTTTGGCCGCGAGCTCATGCACGGTCTAAGGGCCGTAGGATAGCAGGGCGTATATAGGTTTTGGGGCGTCAGGAAATGTTAATCCCGCTCCGAAATGGCATCTCCGTCATCGAGCCTGCTCTGCACGTTCCTTCCCTGATACATGACCGCAGGATCCGGAATATGTCCTCTTCCAGGACATGCGGGCCTTCGTGGCTTTGGGGGTTCAGATGTTTGATGGAGAACTAGCCGCTTGAACCTCGAATAGTATGGACACGTGGTTGGGAAGAGCATGCTTCCTCATCGCTATGAGCGGTTACCCACGTTGCTGCCTACGGGATGTAGGAATTAGATCTTGGAAACCCTGCACTAGACCAAGTAACAAAAGTAACCCCTAAACTTTTTGCTACCATGTTCCCCGTATAGTCCCGAAGCTTACATTGAGTTCCTACCTTCGGGGAGCCTTTTCAAAAACTCTTGGGCGCAACGGCACAACTGCCCCTTATTCAGAGCGCTTGATTGGTCCCATTTGAAGCCTTTTCCTTATGACAAGACTTATAGTATAATACGCCCACAAAGCCTATTCTAATTATTAAAGCCCCTGTAGTTAGTATGTTCCGAATTCTAGCCTGCGATTTCGTGCCCTTGCATTGCGAGACTCTTTATGATGGCACGGCAGAGAGAGAGAGAGATAGTATGTTCCGAAGAGAACTTATAGTATAATTAATAATGTACCCCCAAACCCTATTCCAATTTCATGTACTACAGTAATTACCAGTATTAGTAACCCTTATAGACCCCTCTAAAGGAACCCTACTCTAATTATGAAGGCACCAAAAGTATGTTCCGAAGAGGACGACAAGGATCTGAAATGGGTCGTGCGCGTCCTGGCACCCTTCGGAATGACCGAGGCGCCTGGGTTCGTTGATTTCTGATGAAATGGGGGGGTTTAGGGCTTTAACAGGGGACCCTTCAAGGGTCCCTTAAAGGCATCTAATTAGAAGGGTTCTATTAAGGGTGTAGGGTTTAGGTAGTAAGTAGGGGTTTAGGGCTTTAGTCATGGGGACCCTTTTGAACAGGGGGAGTCGACGGTTTCGGGAGTTTAGATGAGCAGATGTGCTGGGCTGAGACTAACTTAAGGACTTTAGAGTTTGCAGTTCAGGGGTCTGTCAAGGCAGGGCAGGCTCATCTTTGAAGATGTTACGTATTATTCACATTAGTAAAACTGCTGTTGAAGCCATAAACCTTGAGGCCTCAATACTCCAAAGTGCCACACCTCTGAAGCTTGCGGGGTTGTGGCTAGTTGTTGTTGTCGTTGCAGAGTTTCGAGTGCACATGAATTGGTCAAGGGACTTTTCCAGAGAATTTTCGGTTTGCGTTTGTAGGCTTCTCGCGTTTACGGGTCAAGGGATCTAGCATTCATACGATAATTGCTGCAAAGCTTGGAGTTTGTAGGGTGCGAGGCATCGAGGAATGGAGAGCTTCGGGTTCAGGGCTTCCGTCGTCGATGGACTCCTGGGTTCGAGGATGCATGGTGAGACGAGCGGCTAGGGACTTAAATCCTAAACCCTGGGTTCATAGGGCTTAGGGCGAATGCTTTGTGTAAACACGGGGCTTGTAGCATGTTTCGGGTTTATATATATATATATATATGTATATACATATGTGTATACATACATATATATATATATATACATACATATATATATATATATATATAGTTTTCTAGAGGTGTGAGCCTGTGACACTGGCTCTCGGACAGACTGAGATTCAGAATATGGAGCTTCGGAAACCATGGCGTTGCAGGAGTGGCGGTCTCCCTAAACCCTAAACCCTAAAGAGTCTCCACAGGAATCGATTTTGCTGCCCTGGAAGTATGTAGCCCCTCACCCCGAAACCTGCACCTTTAGGACTCCAGAATAGTACGGCACCCGTATACAAAGGACTGCTACACGAACCCTACTTGGAGGTTGATGGGTAGTCATAAGTAGGTTATAGGTAGGGTAACTATACTTATAGCCCATTTTTAGAGACTTATAACCCCGCTTATAACTACCCATGAACCTCGAAGTAGGCCCTAAACCCTATACCCTTATAGTATCCCTATAGATCCCTTTAAAGGGACCCTTAAAGGAACCCTTATAACTACCCGTGAACCTCCAAGGAGTTTGGAGAACTACCCGACCCATCTCCATGTGCTTCTGCCAGGGCGGCGGGATGGTGATCAAGCCTCCGGTCAGCCAGGCTGTTCCACTCATGAAGCTCGCGGCTCAGATACCCTAGGGATCCAAGGGCTCATATGTTAAGGCTTTTGGGCCCAAAGACCACTGTAGAAGGCTTTTGGGCTATTTTGATCCCTAGGGTTACTGAACCAGGCCTTCAAGTTCCATTGATGATTTTCCTGTACAGGTCCCCAACCAAGCTTAGGGGGCTTAGGGTTTTATGGGAACCCACCCTCAACCTTAAGCCCCTAAGCCATCGTTTATGGCTTATTGACCCATGCACTTCTATGAGTCAGCCTCCACTAGGCGTCCTCATGCCCGAGAAAACCTATTAGGCTGTTAGTCGGCAGCTTTCGAGTCGGCGTCCTTCATGGCCTTACCTTGTGTTGGTGTCCCTTTTGAGAACCGGACTCGATACAGCTGTGCCCGTCTTCAAGAAGCAGGCCTGAGTTGCTCGACGATGGTTGAGTCGGTGTCTTTCGTTGCCTTAACTTGTGTTGCGGTGTGTTCAGCGGACCGATTCAACCTGTTCCCCTTGTAGTTGATGATGCGAACCAAGAACCTCGTTTGGACATGTCCGAGTTGCGAGAGCGTAAACCCTTAAGCCACACAATAAACCGAAAATCTGAATGCAAGCCCCAGGGACCCAGAGTAGGCCCTTATTCCCTGTTTTAGGATTCAGGTTTCTTATACACCCCTTTAAACCGAAAGGGCACCCCTTGTATTTGTAGGTTACTGCGAGGTCTAGGCCCTATTCCGGCGCCGAGGAGCCTCAAACAACTGTCGACATGGCTCTCCCTGAAGCAGCATCTTCAAGAGACGAAGGCCTTGAGTTTAGGGTTTAGGGTTTAGGGTAAGGGCTTAGGGTTTAGGGTTTCAGGCTCGAGGATGCACTAAAGAATAGGGGTTAAGGGCTTATTGTTTCGGGTTTCAGGCTCTAGGATATAATAGGGAATAGGAATGAAGGGCTTAGGGTTTGGGGTTTCAGGCTCTAGGATATACTACAGAATAGGGGTTAAGGGCTTAGGGTTTAGGGTTTTAGGCTTTAGGATGTAGTGTTTTGGGCTTTAGGATATGTGGTTCAGGGCTTTGGGTTTTAACCTCCATGTTACTCAGACATTCAGGCGATTGTACAAGTCCTGATGCAAACACGGTTTAAGGTTTAGGATTTCCTGAATTTTCGCGCTATGCCCGAAGCCTTATTCGCCCATAACCCCTGGTTTTGGGCATGCTTATGTTATGGATCACTACTTTCAGGAACGAAAGTCTACACCGGGTTCCACCAAGTTTAGGTTAAACTTGGTGCGGTCTAACCTTGGCGCAGATTTGCTGTTTTGTCCAATGTGACTGTCTGCATTCTGGTGTAAAGTCCTGTCGGTCTGGAACCTGGTGCCAACACACTTTGTGTAGGAAAGTACGAGCTCATACCGCTTCGTACCCAGTAGTGGCATCGAAGAAGCTAATGGTCAAAGGCTCCTAGATAAGCACAACCCGCCAGCAGTAAGGCTTAGGATTCAAGGCTGCAGGCATAGAGCTTGTGAATAGTTAGTAGCTGTATGATTATCAGGCACAAGGGGAAACGGTAGCAGCAGCCTTCGTCGTAGCAGGAGCAGGCGAAGCAGTGGTAGGAGTAGTAGAGGTGGAGGTAGAGGTTTTAGTAGTAGTAGTAGTAGTAGTAGCAGGAGTAGCAGCAGCAGTAGTAGTAGTAGTGGTAGTAGCAGTAGTAGCAGCAGCAGTAGTAGTAGTGGTGGTAGCAGCAGCAGCAGCAGCAGGAGCAGTAGTAGTAGTAGTAGTAGTAGTAGTAGCAGCAGCAGTAGTAGCAGTAGTAGTAGTAGCAGTAGTAGTAGCAGTAGTAGTAGTAGTAAGTAGTAGTTGCAGTAGCAGCAGTAGCACTGGTCGTAGCAGCAGTAGCAGCAGCAGTAGTCGTCGTCGTTGTGGCAAATTTTTGGCGTTCGATGGCCGCTTGTTTCCTCGCACATCTGCCAACCCTCTGGCGCCGAAACCTTCCGGAGGTTTACTCATAAAACCGAGGCCTTTAACACTTCTTGCAACTCTGAAGCCAGCCAGTAAGAAAGTTAGCATCAAAAGTTCTGGGTACTTGAGGATAGTGAAATCTCAAGGGCCTCAATAGTTTCCTATACTATGTTGGGGTTCCTTATTATGATTGTAGTATAAAGCGCCCCAAAACCCTATTCGAATTATTAAGGCCCCTATATTATACCCTTATAGCAGCCCTTACCCTTTAAAAGGAACCCTATTCCAATTATTAAGGCCCCTCTAGTACACCTTTAAGGTAGCCCGTATAGACCCCTTGAAAGGAACTCTATTCTAATTATTAAGGCCCCTACTTGGAGCTTCATGGGTAGTTATAAGGTGGAGTTACAAGTCCCCCAATAAGGGTTATAAGAATAGTTGCCCTACTTATAACCCTACTTAGAACTACCCATGAACCTCCAAGTATATCAGCAGCATGCACCCGTGCCAGCTTGGACGGGTGGTCAACGCCCTCCGACGTCCGAGTCTCAGAGTATTACGAAGGTTTTCTTCAAAGGCTCTGAATAATTGCCAATGCTATTTTGGGGGTTCCTTTCCGGGGGTCTATAAGGGCTACTATAAGGGATCTTCAAGGCTAGTATATTATAGGGGCCGAAGAAATTACCTATACTCTTTGGGGGGCTGCTTCTTATGATCCTATTGTAATGGGCCCCACAAGCCTCGTCTAGTTTTTTTGTATATAAGGCCCCTGTATGATTATGTAGTATATTAGAAAAAGGAAGCTCTTTACTATTATAGTTTATTATATAAAGGTTTTCCTCGACGATTTTGGATGTAGGGTTTGAGGTCAACAGAGTTTAGGGTTAAGGGTTTAGCCTGGACGCCCCACCGGCAGCCAGCAAGCCCAGTTTCAAGTTGGGCTTAGTGCCGTGTAGGCTGTGAAAGGTTCAGGGGTGTGAGGGTTCAGCGTTGGTGTTGGGACCTCAAGTTGACGTTCCTTCTAGGTCTGTGAAGTTTCAGTACAACTACAGACAATCACAACTTGTAGCCTTTGAACAACTTGGAGGTTCATGGGTAGTTCTAAGTAGGGTTATAAGTTAGGTAACTATAGTTATAACGCATATTCGGGGACTAGCCCACTAATAACTACCCATGAACCTCCAAGAAAGACTGTTCAAGATACAAGGTTTCCTGGAAAGGACGTGTGGGATGAAGGCTTTCAAAGCTTTGGGGCAAAAAGGTTTACGGTTTGCACGCTGCCATGTTTGGGCTTAGGGCGGATTTGCGCCCAGAGATCCCAACGGAAGGTGGGATTGTCCAGAATGTGTTCAAGGTTGTGTATAAGGGCCCAAATTATCCAGAATGTGTTTATGGTTGTGTGTACGGGTCCAAATTATATAGAAAATAGACAAGCGGACTCTGACCCAGCGTCAAGCTTTCGGCACAGCTACATTGTCTGGCAGGCTTTGACAGGCTCCAGACCTTACCTTGGGTCAGTAGGGAATGGAGGAATGGGGTATAGTTAGAACTACTATGACTGCCATTCTTCCATTCCCTACTAACCAAAAGTAAGAAACTCGCCTTATCCGGGTGGCTTCCTAGACACCCCTGAGGCCAGACTTTAAAACTCAGTGGCCCCCGAGCCTTAAAGCTGTACATTCGACGAATCCCCTAAATAAAGCCTAATAACTTCCCAGAAACTCCAATAGCCCTCAATTAAGGAAGATACCTTAAATTATAGTAGGATTCCCTATTGATTCAAGGCATATTCCTTTTTTTAAAGGGCTGTTTCAGTCTCTGGGTTCAGCTCTATCAGGGCTTCGGCATTCAGAGAACTTGGAGTCTCTGGGAAGAACCTAGGGACGGCAGAAGGGTTTACGGTGTAGGTCCTTCAGGGTTGAAGGACCCCCGAAACTTCACAAAACCATGTAATAGAATTGCATATCATGTAGGTAGGGGCCGCCTTAGCTGAAATGAAGGAGTGCTCTTTTGTTTCGTCACATTTTATAGTGCATTTGGGAGTCAAGCTTTAGAGTGCTCTTCCAGAACGGTGCCGTTGTTTTCGGTTTTTCAGTCGTTGATTTCAACAAGGGTGGCCCATGCCGGAATCTGCGGCTGATTGAAGTTACAGCCCTGCTAAGCAATTCAGGAGGCAACACAAACGGCCAGGAGCTTTGGCAGTGGTTCGGGGTTGTCTTTAGGTTGGCCATGCGTTTAAAACTCAACTCAAGAACTCAAGGGTTGGACAAGGTATTCTTAGTTGAAATTGGGGGCATCGGGTTTAGGACGAGTTTCTTGATTTGCAATACAGCTGACGCAGCAAGAATTGCAGGTTCCTTATGGATCTCTGGCCGCTACTGCTGGTTACCCACGCAAAGGAGAGCATACAGCCGTATAAGCCCGCTTGTGGCGAGCCCGATCAACACCACCCCTGTAGAATCCTGCAAAGCCAGGTCATCCCGATTCAGAGGTGGCGGCGCTGGCACGGGAGTTGATGGAGAGCCTCCTGACACAGGAACTGTTGAATTTTCGGCTTTCGGGGTTTCACGTATTCTAGGACCCTGCTGGTATTTGGCACATGGGGACTTATGGGTTTCTCCGTTAGGGTTTGAGGTTCAAGGTCTAGGGTTCCTAAATATTCGGTTATTTGGTGACATAGTACATGGTTGGTAACCGACCATTTAGGTAGCCGGAGGTCTAGGCAACGTCTGGGGTGCTCATGGTTTGGGGGCTTTGTCTTTGTCTTCCGAGGCGTTTGAGTTCTCGGGGAGGGAAAAGGTTGGGAGCTTGAGCTTCCCAGCAACTCCCCGATCTCTTAATTAAGAAACATGCCGAAAATTATGTAGGATCCTTAATATGACTTAAGGTATATTCCTTCGGGTTCACCGTGCAGCTTCCGGGGTGACTGCGCAAGTCATATATTTCCGAAAACAATTTAGAATAAGGTTCCTACTATTTAGGGTACTACATCAGGGTCCCCTATTCTCGGAAACGCCCATAGGAGCCATAGGAGCGTATGCGCTCGTCTCGGTAGGGTTTGCAGAGGTGCTTAGATGCTTGTGGATCCATTCAAGGAGTTTTAGTTTCTTGATTTCCCCGAGCCTGAAGGCTATACCAGCGTTTTTCTGCATGAACTCAGGGAATGGAGGACTGTGTTCCTGGTTTTGAAGCTTCACGTTCATGGTATGAGCCTTTTCGTTGCTTGTAGGGGCTTTACGACATTATGCGGTTGTTTAGGGTGTCAAGGTCATGAACTCGTTGGGATTTCGTTGTGCTTTTTGCAGACAGGAACTTGGCAAAGATATAGCCCCTGCTTAGACCTTTAACCCCAGAACCTGGTGCCAGCAACACTCCTGGTCAACACCCCCCAAAAGAAGCCTAAGCACACAAACACGGACGCGGCGACGTTTTAATGACTGAACTGGATGTAGGGCCTAGAACATGGGATCCGTGCGTTAGGTGTGGCTGTTGCCCTAAGGGACCATGTACTTCTCTGGATGTTAGGATATGTTTAAGTTATCTGTGTGTGTGTGTGTCTCCTTCATGACTTCCCAAATTATGTATCCTTAGATCTACGTACATATGTGTACAGATGCACACCCACACACACACACACACACGCAAAACAAACACACACACACACACACACATGTGCATAAGCAGAGCGCAAGCAAGCATATGTATACATTCGTATGTGTGTGTATATGTATATATATATGTCGTTTGCACCTACATACATACATGCATACGTGCATACATACATGCACATTCACTTCGTGTTTTAGAAGCAGGTTACTGTTAGGCACAGAAATCACATGAAGCTTCCTTGTGATGTCTTTTTGTCGCGACACTGGAATAAGGCTGGAAAGAGACCTGCCAGCAGCAGCTGCGAGATCGTGCTTCTGGCCAGGCGCAACAGTAGAGGCCTAAAAGTTAAAGTCCGTAGCTGTATAGCCTCAATCCTTAAGAGTAATGTATAGGGAATCCCAGCACTATTTGGCCTTAATCGGGTTTCCAACTTTATGGGGTTTACTGTAATGATAGGCTGGTCCGCGCTGTGGATGCGTGATCAACCAGCCTGGTTTCCGTAGGAGCTACACTTGGATACCAATCCTACTTAAAGGATCACTGGACTTAGTAGCTAGGTTTATAAGTAAGGCAACTATACTTACAATTTCTTACAACCGCAATGAAGGTAGTTATAACCTTACTTACCATGTCCCTTGATCCTCCAAGTAGTCCCCATAAACGGAGTTGGCTTTTTTGAAGCACAGATCTACATAACCATTCAAGACCCAGCGACACGGGTTCGCCAAACGCATTTTGGTGACAATGCCCCGAAAGGTGTGCAACTAGTAGACTGGACTTGCCTAACCCTATCATGCGGGCTCGTCCTTGCGAAGTAGGAGGCAAAAAGTAGACTCGACGTAGTTTCACTAGCAGCAAATGAAGAATCAAGAGTAGGCGTCTAGGAGGCGGGCAGGTGTGGTCGCCAGCTGATGCCCGACCCAAAAGGCTTTCCCTCAACTTCAGCTCATAAGGGGCTGAGTAGGTGACCTGTAAAATGTTGGGGCTTATATAAACCTACTATAACTCAAAAGGTCAAGCTTTCTCGGGCGGGCTAGGGTATTCAGCCCCTAAGGCTTTGCAGGTCAGACTCCTAAAACCATCGAAACACTCCTTTAAGCCTTCATTGAACTGGTAGCGCCAGAGCCGATGCCGAGCAGTCCCTGCCACGAGGCAAGCCAGCCGGCATTGACGGAAGAAGGCGCGGAAGAGGGCGCGGAAGAGTGAGCAGAGATGCTGGGAACAGACATATCTATGTGGCTTAAGCTCCATCGCCATCGCTGGTTGGGGTTGTAGATTTGCAACTTGGGGAGTGTAACAAGGAATGAGACATAATTAGTAATTATAGTCTGGGCCCTTGAGAGGGATTGTGGACTTTTACTCCCTGGAGGAGCTGACCCTTCTAAACCCATCCCAAACTAAACAACAAACGCCCTAACTCCCAAACCCAAATCTTAACAACCCTAGAGGGTGTGTGGCAAAATATAAAATTCCTAAACCTTTTTCCTTCAGCACCTACTTCAAACCTTTTACCCTTCCCGGCCCTGCCCAAATTAGCTCACGAGCTGCGGGCGTGTGGGCACAAAGCGCTCGGTGGCAGGGCTTGGCTCTGTTTAGGGTATAGTTTTTTGGGGTCGGTGTTGGGTTTTCTAATTAGGATCCTATAAGGTAACCTCAAAAAGGAATTACAATGGAGACTATAGGTAGGGTTTGGGGGTCAGGGCTGTAAAAACCACATATTTGCAACCGTTCTTGAAGGGGATGTTTCTTATGAAGATCCCTTGCTCAGGGGTCTCACTGATTCGTGTCTCCTGTTTCCCGGAACTCGAACTGAAGTCTAGGGCTTGGATTGGTCGTTTAGGACAGCTGTGTTCTGTATAATGCCAGGTTTCTATATGGAACTTGAAGGAAAAATGCCTGTAGCTCTCAATCCCGGTTACGAACAGGCACACAAGGGTTTTCTTTCCATGCAAATGTAGACCGCTGCTTCACAGAGTAGTAAACACTTACGCGATCCCTAACTAGGATATTAACCTAGGGATCAGAATGCGGAGGCCCTTGTAGGAAGTTGTGGTTATTTTTCACCAGAAATCTACCTGACTGCGTCATCGTTGGCTAGAAGCAACATTATACTTGATTCAGTGTTGACGGAGGGCTTTTTTTCATTCAGGTCTCTTCCAGAGAGAAGCCCTTATTCCGTTCCGATCGGAAGCCTTATAAGTATCCTTAGTAGAGGTACCCTACATGAAGGCATGCATCATCTGACTGTATTCTCCAGAATGCGGCAAGAACAGCAGGGTTACCTTGTTATGTAGGTCCACAAAGTAGTGCGTCACCTTACACAAAGAGGACCCTCAAAGGGACCTTGAGTGATGGAACTACCCAGAATGCTTGCCATCCTGGCTGCGACGGCAGTGGATGGACGTGTGTAGTTGTTTTCCCTGCGCTTTCGATTTCGTGCCAAACACCGAGGCCCAAAATCCATGCGAGATACATACAATGTGAACCACCGACTCATAAACCCGTGCCTTAATGAGGGTTGTAAACTAGCTCCGAATATCGAGTCCCACTGCATGTTCGGCTCAAGACGCTCAGCGCTATCAAGTGGAAAACCCTTACCACTTGACGTTCCCTTCATTTTCTTCACGAGGAGCTGCCAGCAGATACTAGGGAAGCCCAAATAATTACCAACTTGGTTCCTGAATTAGGTTCCTTATTATGGTTATACTACAAAGCCCAAATCCATGTTCTAATTCTAATTATTAAGGCCCTTACATTATGCGCTTATGCGCTGTCTTTCAACCACAGCAAGCTCCCCGTGAGCTTTACACAAAAAGTGCTTCAGAGCCCCAAATCCGACGTAGTTTGTTTGAGCTTTAAAGGGATCCTTTAAGGGTTCCTTAAAGGGATCTATAAGAGTTCTATGAAGGGTTTAGGGTTTAGAGGAGCTTAGCCAGGGTTCCTTTAAAGGGGTCTATAAGGGTTACTATAAGAAACCTATAAGGGTACTATTATGCAGTTACAGATAGGCCCCAAAGTAGTTCCTTTTTGGGATCACCTAATAGGATTCTATATACGAACCCCAAAAGGAACTACTTTGGGGCCTTTGGGTAAACAACACTACAACCGGAAGTCCTCAGGGAGAACGAAGCCATATAGAAGCCCGTCTTACCAGCAGTCTTCCTTGGAGTTCCTTGGTATAATGATACTAGACTGTATATACACCAAAACCATATTATCCTGCTTGAAGCTTCTATATTGAATTACTACCTCTTGGGCCTTCAGCCGAAGAAGCTGTTGTTCAGTGGTTGGGGCCTCCTCGCGCTTCCAACACTTTATTGGCTAGTGAAGCCAAGACCTTGCGGATGTTGGGGTGTAGGTTGTCACTTGAAGGACCCCTTAGTTTTTTTCTGGAAACAGGAGCTTCAGGGCTTAGTGAGTGTAGGGTTTAGCACCTACTGTAGGATGTATATAAAGTGGTCTACTAGCAGTATATACTTAGCTCCCAACGTGCCATTCTTATTATGGTTTTGGACGTCTGACCTGACTCCCTGAGAGAGAGAGAGAGAGAGAGAGAGAGAGAGAGAGAGAGAGAGAGAGAGAGAGAGAGAGAGAGAGAGAGAGAGAAAAAGAGAGATAGATAGATAGATAGATAGATGTATATATATATACATATATATATATATAGGTGTATATGTATATGTATGCTATATTTGTATGTGTGTATACATGGGCGTGAGGACATGAACCTTCAGAAGAGCATCCTCTTGGGAGCGGTGGCTGTGCCCCGGTTTGAATCGTAGGAGTGTGTCTGTCGTTTGGGGTTTAGGGTTCCGGGGCTAGGGTTTTAGGGTTCAGGATTTACGGCTTGGGGTTTAAGGTTTTTAGGGCTTGGCGTTTGGACGACACTAAGAAACGCAGCTTCAAAAAGTGGTCTCAACCCTTCGGGTCAGGCGAGAGCAATTGGATTCGTTAGGTGCCTCTAGGGCTGAGCTTGGACCATCGCAGTTTCAGATGTCCAGGGTTTCGGCAGGATACACCCCTTAGAACGATTCAAGCGTTAAAGTCAAGGTTAGAGACAGCTTCCGCAGATTCCCTTCCGTCGAGCAAAACCGAGGTCGCGGCTAGCCACTGCCCAGATGCAGGTGCTTCACCCGCAAATCAATCTGGGCGAAGGGTGGGGTTGGCTAAGCTGGACGAAGTATCCAATAGTCAGGCCTTCTCTCAACTGTGTCTCCGCCCCACTTGGAGGTTCATGGGTAGTTATAAGTAGGGTTATATATATATATATATATATATATATAGGCTAACTATACTTATAACCCATATCAGAGGACTAATAACCCCACTTATAACTACGCATGAACCTCCAAGCAGGCACGCCACACCCTCATGGATCCTCAGTCCACCGAAAGTAGCGCGTCTCTTCTCTGGCTGGACTCTCCAAGCGTGGAGACCCACTCTCAACGCCTCAGTTCCAAGTCCCTGTAGCTTCAAAGCTCAACCCTACTTGGAGAGTCGGGGGACTTAGTAAGTGGGTAATAAGTAGATTCATAAGTATTCTAAGGGGGACCTTAATTGGGATTAGCCTACTTCCTAAGTCTACTTACTAACTACTTACTAAGTCCCCGACTTTCCAAGTAAGCCAAGAGTGGCCAGATTCAACGCTTACACCCCAAGTAGCCCTAGAAGGGTTTGTTCCAACCCTCCTTTGGTTGTTAATGACCCCGTTTGGCTTTTGACACCCTTTTCTGGATGTTGAAAATACAAACCCCTGAAGCCCCAAACTGATCTAATGTAGGAACCTTATTAAGAAACCTTCGGCCTTCATTAGGGCTCCGTATATGAATCCTAGTATGTTGGGTTTATAGGCCCAGGGTTTCTGAATCAGGTTCCTACATAGTAGTACCCTTATAGATTCCTTATAGTAACCCTTATAGACCCCTTTAAAGGAACCCTTAGGCCCAGGGTTTCTTAATCAGGTTCCTACATTATAAAGGACCCTGAGGCACCACCATCTTCCCTGGCTCCTTCAGGCTGCGCTGCGCCAGAGGCGGCCGTGGAGGAGGTCGAGGCGATAGAGCCGCCTCCCTACACGTGTTTGCGGCTGTGGTTAAGTGGTTTACAATATAAGATTGATGCAAAAGGGTTTTGCTAGTCAGGCTTCTAGTCGAGCGATGCTGCGGAGTGTTTAGAGTGTAGTGGAATTGAAATTGATTTCGTTAGTTAGGAATCTAGTCGAATGATGCTATGAAGTGCTGAATGAGAGGAACAGGGTGCCAGGGTCTCCGAAATGTCTTAGTTTTCTTCGTAAAGTCTGAGCAATGGGGGGTGTCTGCAAGTTATATTTGGGGGGTTTTGGTTAGGGCTGGTGGGCTTTTGAGTATCATACTTCAATGCTCTTTTTTGGGGACCCTGTTACTCAAAGGGAGCCACTATGCTATGAACGTCTATACTTTTTCTCCCTTGCTACTTCAAAGCCCAGGCTACATTTCGGAGGGAAGACTCCCACCACGACTTGGAGGAAGCTGGAACATGAAGCGTGTTTGAACGGAAGGGCAGCCGCCATCAACCCTTAACCCGACATACCCCAAAGCCCTGAAGCTATCAAAGAGCCCGGAAAGGCAGCCTGAAAGGACGCCGTGAAGTTCAAGGCTCCCTGAACCACTTCAAAGAAACCCGAAAACACTTTAAACCCCTCCAGCCATGCGAAGCCCCAAAACCTGAAGAAGCCCGAAACCACTTCAAGCCCAAAACTCCGAATATACCTAAACCACCAAAAAACCCTAAAAAACCCTAGACACCCTAAAACCAGCCTAATGTCCATAAAGAAAATCAAAAAACCTAAACAGTAAAAACAAAAGCACGGCAAGTCGCCTGAATTATCGGAGGGTCCCCAGCCTAGGTCCGAGCACTTGCAGACCGAGCTTCTGCAGGTGAGCCCCGGTCTCTTAGGGCCCCCCCGGGTCCGGGATGTTTCAGGGCTTAGGGTTCCTTTAAGGGTACTATAGTAGGCTTCCCTTTAAGGGTACTATAGTAGGGTTCCTTTAAGGGTTTTAGGGTTTCCTTTAAGGGTGCTATAGGGCTTAGGGTTTCTAGGGCTTAGGGTTTTTGGGGTGTTGGGCTTAGGGTTCCTTTAAGGGGAACTCCAGAAAGTTGGAATATGGTTTCAGGGTAGGATACCTTATAACTTACCATAAAGGGTTTAGGATAATCATATTCCAACTTTCTGGCTTTTCCTTCAAGGGTACTTGTAGGGTTCCCTTTAAGGGTACTATAGGGCTTAGGGTTTCTAGGGCTTAGGGTTTATGGGGTTTTGGGCTTAGGATTTAGGGCTTGGGGCTTTGGGTTTAGGGCCTAGGGTTTAGGGCTTAGGGTCTAGGGCTTAGGGTTCCTTTAAGGGTACTAGTAGGGTTTCTTTTTTGGGGTACTATAGGGTATAGGGTTTCAGGGATTTAATGATTAGGGTTTAGGGCTTCGGGCCCATTTAAAAAGTTAAGGGGTCGAAGGTTCTCTTTTCGTGGCTTTAGGCTTAGGGCTTCTCCAGTTAAGGAGGGTTCGAGGGTTCTTTTTGGTGGCTTTAGGGTTTGGGGATTTTTCATTAATTAAAGAGTTCGAGGATTCCCTTTTCGGTGCCTTCAGGGTTTTGAGATTTGGGGGGGCGTAAGCTGTCGCACCCTTGTAGTTTGTTCTTCAGGTACTGTTACAGTTCGCTCGGCAGGCGAGCTGGTCTATTTGGGTTGCACGGTTTAGGGTTTATTCTTCGCGAGCTTTGCAGCTATATACAGGGTTTTTGTAACGTTTTCTTCATGTTTTGCTTCATAGGGTTAGGGTTTAGGGTGAACTTTAGGGCAGGGTTTTCAATTGTATGTGCCTAGGGCACTTAGGAGGTTTTCTTGTAGATTTGGTGTTCTGGGTTTTGGTGGGGGTGCGTGTGGTGCGAGGGGTGGTATCAGCCTTGTACAGCAGAGCTTGACACAGTATATTGTTTTGCCTGGCCACACCTACAATCACAACCCCACATCCTGAACCCTTCCCGTACTGCAGACCTAAACTTATTAAGCCCTGCAGACCCAAAAGTCACTTCAACCTTCAACCCGTAAGTCTAACACAAGTTGGTAGTATTGACTTCTTCCCCTCGAGCAGCAAACAGAAAGCAGGGATTCGGGGGCTTTGGGGGTTGCGGGTTGCGGGGTCTATAGCTACGTGATGTAGGACGGAGGGGTTTTGGTTTCAAGGCTCAGGGGCGAAGTTCTGTGGTTCAAGGTTCAAGGTGTGCCTAACAAGTCCGCATGAATCCATCAATCCTGGAAGTCACCCCGCACCGAAAAGCTTCAAGCGCCACACCACCACCACAACTTCCGAAAAATTCCCTAACGCTAAAGCACCGAGTGACCGGTTAAGTTCCCTGGTGTCCCACACACAAACAGCCAGGCTAATGCACCAAAAGGAGAAGACAAGCCCTACCTCAACATGCAGTCGCTTTTAGATCGGCAGGCAGAGCTGCAGAGCCCGGCTTGAAAACAAGTCATGGTATAGAAGCCTGAATCGTTAGTAATCTACCCCTTGGCTGCTCAATATATGTATATATATATATATGTATATATATATATATATATACATATAGTACTGTATAAACTCCAAAACATATTGAACTCATCGTCCCTCTCTCTCTCTCTCTCTCTCTCTCTCTATTCCTACATATATATATATATATATATATACAAAGCCCATATATATATATATATATACATTGTATGTACATATTGCTTATATATATACACGTATATGGGCCGTGTTTGTAAACGCACATGCTGTTTGACTCCATCAGGTGAAGCTCGAGGGTCCCCAGGGTCGAAGCCCTGGAATCCGACGTCCAGGAGTCAGGCACGCATAGCTTTGAGGGTGCTTTGTTTCTGTTAGGGTTCAGGGTCCAGGGTTCAGTCCGTCATTGTTGGTGCCTGACCCTCGTCTATCTCGCACTTCTCTCTCTCTCTCTCTCTCTCTCCCTCCCTCTCTCTCTCTCTCTCTCTCTCTCTCTCTCTCTCTCTCAGTCGGTCGCTCTCCCTGTGTGTGTGTGTGTGTGCATGCACATAACAAGTGTGTATATAATTGTGTATATATATATGTATATATATTCGTCTAAATTATGTGTATATAAATAAACATATGTATGCACATATTTTTACATATATATATATATATATATGTGTGTGTGTGTTTGTAGACACATACATACATTGGCATGTACGTACAGCACAGCTACGAGCTCGACAGGGACTTTACGTAGATGCTTCAGCGATTTTGACGGACCAAAGTGTCGTGGTTTGTCAAGAATTTGTCTTTCGGAAAAGAGACGGCTTGTGTGACCGGCTTAGCAATGGCTGTACATACAAGATGTGTTGCAGAGTTTTGTGATCAGTGGGGCGGACCTGTCTTGTTGCGAACCTTTGGCATGGTCCGGTTGCAATTGTAGGGTTCGAGAAGTGCTCAGGGGCTACAGCTTTGATGTACATGTACATATATACTCACGTGTATATATTAATATATATATATATATATATGTCTATATATGTATATATGTATGTGTATGTATGTATGTATGTATGCATGTGGACAGTACATTTACGTATGTGTTTGTTTCATGCTTACATGTACACCGCTTACACATGTCCAATCATGCATGCATGTATGTATGCATTCATGTAAGTAGGTATGTCATTAGTATCCCCGCATGTAAGCTTGTAGGTATGCAGGTTTGTAAGTAAGTATCTGACCTAGCTGTCTAAGTATGTATGCAAGTATGCGTGTAAGTTTGTGTATAAGCATTGATGCACGTGCATATGGATGCAGGTGCTGCTTCGTTATTGTTGATAGTTCATTTTCTCAGGCACTACAGCATGATGCGAGGTTCTGTACGGTTTTCTTGAGGTTTTCTCTAAACGGCTATGTTTAACATTTTGCAAGGCACTTCAGAAGACTCCAATCCCGAACAGCCCTGAAGCTCTACATGTCGGGCCCAATAAAGAGCCCGTGGAACAATCATCAAGGCCCCTACACTAAACCCGAAACCCGCAGGACATGCCGAGACGTCGGTCTACTACGGCAAGGCCTGTGGCCGGGCCCTGTATTGGTTTTGAGTAATTATTTGCCATAGGGGAGTCCGGGAAGTGTCGTGTGTTTTGATGTGTGATTCATGTGGAGGTGTGCATGTATGTTTGTATGCATATATATATATATATAGATATATGTATGTCTGTCTGTATACATGTCTGTGTGAGAAGGTCTATTTGCATATGTATATGTATGTATATGTATATATATACATATATATATATATATATACGTATTATACATACATGTATGCTACTGTATGTCACAGTGCTAGCTCATAGCCTGAAACCCTCAACCCCGCACCCTACAACGTCTTACGCATGGCTTTGTTTTGATCGTCTCGTTGTCTCCGTAGTGCCCCCAATACTGTTTACAGTAAATAAGCAATAATGCAAATTGTGGCTTTGGCTTTGGGCTTCAAAGTAAGTGAGGATACGTCCTAAGAGACCTGAAAAACCCTCGGGCATCTTCACAGAAGGACTTCGGCAGAGGAATGTCGGGTAGACAACAAGATGCGGGGGATTCAGCGCAAACCCTTAACAATAAATTGTAATCAAACCGCAGCCACAAAGTTCCCTGAAACTTTCCTGGCAGCTGATGACTTCTTCGCCCCACTGGTGCGGCTACATCCCATGGCTCGTCCAGCGACCTGGGCATCAAAACGCAATCGCACAGACAACTCTGAAATCCCAAACCACCGAGAATGACGCGAATAAGAGCATCTTATTGTTGCGTGGTTGCATGAGAGCGACATGTATGACCAAAGGGGGGGGAATTTTCAGTCCAAAGAAACAAGCAGCAATGACTGAAGTATGTCGCTCGCGAGTTTCGGGAGGGATACTCCAAGGGCTGGGAGCCAGGGTTTAGGGCCAGTACGACTCGGTACTGTCGGCATTACTTAGACGCTGAAGTTTCTAGGTTTGCGGGCTTAAGTTCCCGAAACGATACTAACCCATCTCATGGCCTTGGTGTTACCATACTTGCTGACTGATCCGGGCTAATGCTCCGTGCAACCCTTCGGCGTGGCGCCTTGGACAAGCCCGATGCGAGCGTCTGGGGTCCAGGTGTTCAGTGTTTAGGGTCCACACCACTGCAGGAATTTGGGCGGGCTTGTCTTTCTGACCGTCCTAAGTAGCGTTAAAGCAGCAGCTGAGGTTTCTGGTGCCGCCGTGCTGGTTCGGGAAGCCAGAGCACCGCAATGTGGCTTTGCCGCATTCTTCAAGTCTCACGGAGGAGTTTTGAGATTTGGAGCCTGCAAACAAAAACCATCTTAGACCCATGGGAGGCACCTGGAGGGTACTTCTTGGGGCCTTCGTGTGGTATGACAGGGGAGAAGAGTAGATGTAATTAGGGTGGTTGGGTGGTTGGGTGTTAGGTGTTACCGAGTAGGAATTTGCGGGTTTTAGGGCAGGGTTCTGTTCGAGTTCCATGGTTTAGGGGCCTTACTGTACTCTTGTTCGGACCCGCCCTATGTTGCGATCAAGATAAAGGGTGCAAGAAGGACCTTGTCCAAGGTCCAAGAGGGACAGATATTTCATCTATCAGGCTTAGCTAAAGGCTTAAGGCCCCGTTTAGAGTCATCACGAAGGTTGCCACGTCCGTTCGGGTGCCATTGGTAAGTGCTTCAAAGTTGACAATAGCTCATACAACAGGCTCTGAGAGAGGCTTGAACCCTAACAACCCTAGACCCCTACACCCTAAACCGTGAATCCCGAAACCCCTGAAGCCGAGATTCGCCAAGTCCGTAAACCCTACGTCAAAGGCTCAGATGCCCGAGCTGTGAAAACCACCATTTCAAGATTGACGGAAGCCCTTGGAGAACCTTTCAGGGCTTCAGAGCTCCAGGGGACTGGGGGTTTAGGGGTAGGGGTTTAGGGGTTAGGTCCTAAACCCTAACTAAGCAAACCTCTAATGAAAGCCTATGAAGCCTTGCCCAGACGATGAAACTTTGCAAGGCCAACAGCCCTTGAACTTTGGCACCAGCTCATGCCTTAAGCCCGGAGCCCCCAAACCCTGGAGCCTGTAACATCCCTAAACCCCAAGCCTCCCCCAAATACCTAAACCCCAAGCCCAGCTCAGCCCCGAAGAAAGGCTTAAACCCGAAGCTTTAAACCCCCCAAACGCCTTCTGAAGGAGACTTTCCCTAAGCCCTACCGGTATCCCCAAACCCTACAACATGGTAGGTTATGATCCCTTAATTACACGCTGGAACCCTTAAAACGGTAGGTTTTCGGATCCACCGGTAGAAAAACCCACCCTAAATCCTAAACCCAACAGCCCCCTTCAAGGAGACCCCCTAAACCCTAAACCCTGTCTTTGCTAAGTAGGAGGGAATAGACCCTCAACCCAACAGCCTGAAGGAGACCTCGACTCTTAACCCTAGACCCTAAACTAAAACCGTAAACCCCTAAACCCTAAACCCCTAAGCCCTAAAGCCCAACCCCCAAAACCCTCGAACCCCTAAACCCTAAACTCCCTAAAGTTGAAAAAGGGCCCGAAAAAAAAAAACAAACTAAACAAGGAGACCTTGGGCCCCGACGGTCTTCCTGTGTGGTGCCAAGACGTCTACGCGGGCGCGCGGGCCTACGCGGCTGGGCCGATTTTCGGGGGTCTGCGATGGGATGTTTTGAGGGTTTAGTTTAGGGGTTAGGGTTTCGGGTTTTTGTTTGGGGGTTTTGAGGGTTTAGTTTAAGGGTTACAGTAGGGCTTTGAGGGTTCTCAAATGCATACAAAAATTGTTCGGCTCAAGTTCTAAATCGCATTCCGGCGGAGCACAATGACGATCCGACTGTTTAGAATACCCTGAATGCCCGTCGCAAGCGGTAGGCGCCAAACCCTAGCCAGATGCCCCTCTGTACTTCAGAGCAAAACGGGCACGCGACGCAGTAAACATCGTCTACCCTGCCAACCCCCCCTCAAACCTGCATTATTTGGACTCCTGGTTATCTCCTCGTGGGTTTAGGGTTTATGGTAAAGCCGTGGAGGAGGGGCTGGATTCTGCAGAAGCAAACGGCTACAAGTGTCAAGAACTTGGGACTTGAAGTTGGGTTGCGTGGTCCTCTTTCAAAACCGTTCAAGGGAGAATTGAGCTCTCCTTCATGCGCGACCGCAGCTCTACACCTTGTTATTGCCAAATCTTGAACAGTTCCGAACGCCTTTTCTGGTCAATTTGCCTGTCTACTTGGGACTGGATCCCGTGCTTGTTGCTGAAGAAGTTTAATGAGCTAAGCAGAGCAAATCTTGATTTCCAGTGTGAGCCTGCAGCCAAGCAAGCATTGTGTTGCGAAAACAGGCGTTAAAACATGCGATGCAATGGTCGAAGCTTGAAATTTACGACCCAGGTCAAGGACTGTGCCAAAACAGAAGGCCATGTTGTTGATGTATATAACGTCTTGCATTGGCAATCGTGGGTATTGGACATGCGGACCTGCCATGCTTGCCTGGGCTTGCGATGGGGGAGCCAAAGAAACCTAAGCACCATTTTTATTGTGTTGGATCAGCAGTACGGGGGTGGGTTTGCACGGGCTTTGAGTTGGGCGGGAAGTCTTTAGATAGGCCGAGAAGGCTTCGGTGGTTTTGATCATGAAGTGCCGCAGCCACATCACATGTCTTTGAACCGCAAGCATGTTTCGGATTCTGCAGTCGAAGAGGATCTCGAAGAAACATTAAGGCCTATAAACCCCCAACCCTACCTCACATGATCGTTGTTGTAGCTCTCCAGCTTGAGTCGGGTTTTGCTTCGAGTCTGGGTCTGTGTTTTAGATGCGGGCACCGGGGAAAAAGCCCAGGTGCACATTTCTGTACGTGAACTAAACTCCTGTATAGTATAGTCTTGTCGGAACCTGTTATGACAAAGAACCAACGATAAACGTTATCTGTCAAAGGCAGGGTTCCGAGTAAAGTGTTTCATGTTCCAGATCAGGGTTCAGAGCTTTATCGTAGGGTTAAGCAGAACTTTAGCATCAAGGTTGAGGTTCGTGCGAGGGCAGCGGGTTACGCATGTTGGTGCAATTTGTTCGTCAAGATGTTGAAAGAGGTGGAACAGATGCTTCCAGTGTTGCAAAGCCGCGCACCCGCCTCGCGAGCAATCGCAGGCGGCGCGCCGGCTGCCCCCACAATGACAACGGCACACCAGGGCTCGCCACCGGATTGGCGCCCGGGGATGTGGTTCAATGATGAGCCTTGCTTTTGTGTTCGGACCTTCGAGTACATTGGACAGTGACACATGAGACTGCAGCTATTCTTGCTGCTGCTGATGTGAAAACCATCACCACTTCCATTCAAGACCGTATTGAGAGCGACCCCGAAGCCCAACACGACCCCTCGACCCACGACTACCAGCACCCACCCTTCCATCACCACAACCATACCAAGTTTCCACGACTAGTTCATCACTATCCCAACTGCAGTCGCCAGAACTATGCCGGCAGACATGACGGAGTCGACTGCTGTCTCCGACTTGTTTGTCTTGTCTGTTATGCGTGCTGCCGCGGCTACTGTTGCTGCAGGCTACAAGCATCACATTCTTGCTCCAGTTGGGCTTTTGTCAGCTTATGTCGACTGCCGCTTGTCACCCGCCGGAGGTGCAAGTACATTCCAGAGAATCAGAAGCAGCACTCGCCTGACTGCGCTCCTTCCCTACTCAACGAGGTGGGTGGGTTCGTTTTGTGAGCTGAACTCGAAAACAGCCCCAGCAGCCCCATAATTCATCGGGTTGTGCTGCTCCGCGTGCTTTTGAGCCATGCCTGAAAACCCAAACAAGAAGCCCAAAGGGTCCAAGTATCATTATGGTACATACTTATATAATCTAGGGTATTTGGGGGTCTATAAGTCTATAGCACAATGATACTTGGACCCTTTGGGAAGTCTGTTCCTGTTGATCAGTTGTCGAGCCGCCAGGAGTGGATGGCTGAACGACAGGTCCCCTGCATCAACTTACCGGTGTGCTCTGGGGTCAAAGGTCTCTGAGGGGCTCGGGTTCATGGCAGCATACTAGTAATAGTAACAATATTATTGATAATAATAATAATAGTAGTAATAGTAGTAATAAAAATATTAATAACCACGGCTACGGCACCTCAGGGTACTGAAGGGTTTAATTTAGGTTGCTCGATGATTTCACTTTTAGGGTCCCAGGCCCCTGAATTCTGTAGAGCTTGGAGTACATTAAAGGACCCACCAGGTTGGTAGCAGTAGCGCTGCGTGCGGTTCTTTGAGTCGAGTTCTGTGCTTACGCGGAATTTCCAAGGAGAGGCGCATGCTGCGAGGAAGATAGAGTGGAGCATAGCATGCTTGTTTTGGCATTCAGGGGCGACTTGTACTATTTTTTAATCTGAAAGAAGAACCGTGCACATGATCACCCACCGAACGAAATCGGCGGTAGGCTTCAGCCCATCGTTCACCCACGCTTCCTCCCTCGGTGCCTTAGCGACCTTACAACAAGCGCATCCCACCTCCGGAACCCCCAGTTAACTTTAAACCCCGAACCCTCAACCCTAAACCCTGAACCCTAAGCCCTAAACCCTAAGCCCTAAACCCTGAACCCTAAACCCTAAACCTGAACCCTAAACCCTAAAAGCCCTGAACCCTAAACCTGAACCCGGGTGACCTAGACCTAAAGCACCGATGCTCTCAGCAAGCAGCACTCTGAAGCTTGAAGCTGCCCTAATATAGAACCCTACTATCGATCCCCTCTAGATCACCTTAACGGACCCCTTAAAGGAACCCTATTCTAACTATTAAAGGCCCCCCGATATTTCGGGACATAAGGCGGCCGACCCTGGGGCCCCTTACACAGACCCAGGGGCCTTAAAGGAGTCCTAAAGGGGCGTTCAGCAAACAAAAAGAGTCCTATATAAGGGTTCGACGGAAGCTGATCTGTGAATTTAGGGTTTATAGGGTTTTGGCAAGATTGCGTCACTTCGTGGTAGTGCCCCAAGAAGAGGTTCGGGAGCGCAATCGGCTGCGGTTGAATGTGCAGGGGCTCTGGGACCTGAGATTCGCAATTTTGGCATCAGGCTCCGGGTGTATACCAGGACCCTCCTTGTGCCCTCAAATAGGGGTATCGCCCCCCAAATAGTGGGCACTTGAGGTCTAATAGAGGTAGATGGGGGGTCTAGGTAGGAGAGCCGGAGCCGTAAATGCAGATTTTGGGTGGGTATTTTGGGTGATAAATTCTGTTCGTAAAATAACACTTTTTAATTAGGCCTCAGCAAGGCCGAGGTTGGCACACTGGACCCCGACTCGTCCACTCAATTTGATGATCGGTGATGACCAGCATAACCCTATCCCTCCAAGGACCTCATAGTTAGGGCCCTAGACCCCTTAAGGACCCCATAATAAGGTCCCTGGAGGCATAGGGTAAGCCTTAATTCGAACAGGGTTTTGGAGCAGGGCCCATTATGCATGTCATAAGGTACCCCCAAAATAGAATAGGTATCGGTATATAATTATTAAGGCCCCTGTAGTCAGTCGTATACCCCCCAGAATACTGATCTACACTACTGGACCCCGGTGGCAAACTGAGCATTGGCTACTTTGGATGAGGGTAGCTAGTACCTACTACCTACTATAACATAGGGGCCATATTATGGTTGTAGTATGCTGTACCCCCAAACCGAATATATTTTAATTATGAAGACCTCTATATTATAGTCCGTTTGGAGACAGTGGAGGCAAATTTTGCTTTCCGCCCGGCGGCTAGTCTGACCGCCGTGGACACAGAAGGTGCGACGAAGATGGGGCTCATAAGCGTCTCCAGCGTCGGGTTCAGTGTTCGGGCTTTTGGGCTTCGGAGGGTTTAGGGCAAGTTTAGGATTTAGGGGTTTTAGGGGTTTAGGAATTAGGGAGGCTTAAGGTTCACTTTAGGGTCCTTATGTACCCTGCGGGGGCCCGGGCCCGCAAACGGAACCCCAAAGCAGAGACCGCTTCGGGTCAAGGTCTGCGGGGTTGATATTGTCGGTTGAGGTGTGGAAGCCAGGACACCCAGAACAAATTCTTCAAAGTCTAGCTATGTTCCTCCAAAACACAAATCCAGTATCTCCTGAAGTGTTATTGTACAGTTCTCGCAAATTCTTGAATTGTTGTCCTTGGTTGCAGAGTGTTCCATAAAGCTTGAGACATCTTTCGTGGTCAAGGTATGTTTGGCCCGAATTCATGGGGTGTTGAGGGGAGCTCTCACTTCCTAACGTCCTGCAACAGTGGTCACCAGTTCCCCTCATGCTTCGGGACTCTCGTTTGGAAGGTCCTCGGCTCCGATACCATACACATCATACAACATGGGGGCCTAAGTAATTTCCAACACCATTGCTGGGGGATCCTTATTCTAACTATTGTAGAACGTGCCCTTAAAACCCTATTCTAATTATTAAGGCCCCTATACTAGTTCTAGTTATTAAGGCCCCTATACTAGTTTTAGAGGATGTTCAACCATGTTGAGCCCGAAAGAAGAATGGAATCTTCCAAGTTTGTCGGTGCGATCCCTTTCTATTCCCAGTCGCAGGGAAAGACCAGGATACAAACCTGGGATTCAAAACACGATGCCCGTAATGCTGCAAGCTTCCGATCCTGACCTTGAGAACCCTAACGATCTAATTGGAATGGGGTTTGGGTATATCTTTTCGTACTTATATCAAGCAAAACCCCTGTATGATCAGTTTCCAAAGACAGCTGCGCACGAGGAAGCGCCACTTCCGACACGTACTATGGCAAGGCTGGGAATGAGTTTCTGCCAACAGGAAAAGCTGTTTTGGGCTTACAGAGATGTTTAGAGTGTGATTGCTTGGATTGCATCTGAAGTAGAAGACCGTCATGTAGTAATGTGGGTGTCGGTTTAATAATGGAGTACCCCCCCCCCCGACCAAAAAAAAAAATCCCATTTAATATGGAACCGGTAGCCCCGGACAGGGGTCAGGGGTCGGTCTGAGTGGCAGGGAATTGGGAGGTGCCGGGGTTTGGGGGCTGGCTTGGGTGCAGGGTCTGCGGTTCTGCGCGACTGCGCGGTCGGGGGTCGGGGGGGTCTGGGCCAGCGCCTGAAACCCTAAACCCTGAACCCTAAACCCTAACGAATCCTAAACTCCGAGACCCTATAACAAACCCTAAACCCTAAGCCCTAAACCCTTCCAAAGGGGGGTCGGTCCAGATTCGACCCAAAACTTAATTTTTTATACAAACTTTAGTACTGGAGAGGCCTCCTGTGAGCTAGGGTCCAATCCCCGATTCGGCGGTTCACCCTAGCAGCCCCCCCCAATAATCAAGGTATAGTAGAATAGTAGTACAGTAGTAGTACAGTAGTAGTATAATAATAGTGCAGTAGTACAATAGTAATACAACAGTAGTACAGTGGTAGTACAATAGTAGTACCGTAGTAGTACAATAATAGTACAGTAGTACAATAGTAGCACAATAGTAGTACAGTAGTAGTACAGTAGTAGTACGATTATAGTACCCTAGTACAATAATAGTACAGTAGTAGTACAGTAGTAGTACAATAATAGTGCAGTAATACAACAATAGTACAGTGGTAGTACAATAGTAGTACAGTAGTAGTACGATAACAGTACAGTAGTACAATAGTAGTACAGTAATCGTACAGTAATCGTACAGTAGTAGTACAATAGTAGTACACTAGTAGTACAGTAGTAGTACCACAGCAGTACAGTAGTACAGTAGTAATACAGTAATAGTACAGAAATAGTACCAATAAGCAAAGCATAAAGCCAGTGAGTACATTCCCCCCAATAAGCAAAGCATAAAGCCAGTGCCTGAAACCCTAAACCCCGAACCCTAAACCCTAAAGAATCCTACACTCCTAAACCCTATAACAAACCCTGAACCCTAAGCCTTAAACCCTTCCAAAGGGGGGTCGGTCCAGATTCGACCCAAAACTTAATTTTTTATACAAACTTTAGTACTGGAGAGGCATCTTTTGAGCTAGGGTCCAATCCCCGATTCGGCGGTTCACCCTAGCAGCCCCCCCAATAATCAAGGTATAGTAGAATAGTAGTACAGTAGTAGTACAGTAGTAGTATAATAATAGTGCAGTGGTACAATAGTAATACAACAGTAGTACGGTGGTAGTACAATAGTAGTACAGCAGTAGTACAATAATAGTACAGTAGTACAATAGTAGCACAATAGTAGTACAGTAGTAGTACAGTAGTAGTACGATTATAGTACCGTAGTACAATAATAGTACAGTAGTAGTACAGTAGTAGTACAATAATAGTGCAGTAGTACAATAGTAATACAACAATAGTACAGTGGTAGTACAATAGTAGTACAGTAGTAGTACGATATCAGTACAGTAGTACAATAGTAGTACAGTAATCGTACAGTAGTAGTACAATAGTAGTACACTAGTAGTACAGTAGTAGTACCACAGCAGTACAGTAGTACAGTAGTAATACAGTAATAGTACAGAAATAGTACCAATAAGCAAAGCATAAAGCCAGTGAGTACATTCCCCCCAAGAAGCAAAGCATAAAGCCAGCGCCTGAAACCCTAAACCCCGAACCCTAAACCCTAAAGAATCCTACACTCCTAAACCCTATAACAAACCCTGAACCCTAAGCCTTAAACCCTTCCAAAGGGGGGTCGGTCCAGATTCGACCCAAAACTTAATTCTTTATACAAACTTTAGTACTGGAGAGGCCTCTTTTGAGCTAGGGTCCAATCCCCGATTCGGCGGTTCACCCTAGCAGCCCCCCCCAATAATCAAGGTATAGTAGAATAGTAGTACAGTAGTAGTACAGTAGTAGTATAATAATAGTGCAGTAGTACAATAGTCATACAACAGTAGTACAGTGGTAGTACAATAGTAGTACAGCAGTAGTACAATAATAGTACAGTAGTACAATAGTAGCACAATAGTAGTACAGTAGAAGTACAGTAGTAGTACGATTATAGTACCGTAGTACAATAATAGTACAGTAGTAGTACAGTAGTAGTACAATAATAGTGCAGTAGTACAATAGTAATACAACAGTAGTACAGTGGTAGTACAATAGTAGTACAGTAGTAGTACGATAACAGTGCAGTACTACAATAGTAGTACAGTAATCGTACAGTAGTAGTACAATAGTAGTACAGTAGTAGTACCACAGTAGTACAGTAGTACAGTAGTAATACAGTAATAGTACAGAAATAGTACCAATAAGCAAAGCATAAAGCCAGTGAGTACATTCCCCCAATAAGCAAAGCATAAAGCCAGCGCCTGAAACCCTAAACCCTGAACCCTAAACCTTAACAAACCCTAAACCCTAACGAATCCTAAACTCCTAAACCCTATAACAAACCCTAAACCCTAAGCCCTAAACCCTTCCAAGGGGGGGTCGGTCCAGATTGGACCCAAAACTGAATTTTTTATACAAACTTTAGTACTGGAGAGGCCTCTTTTGAGCTAGGGTCCAATCCCCGATTCGGCGGTTCACCCTAGCAGCCCCCCCAATAATCAAGGTATAGTAGAATAGTAGTACAGTAGTAGTACAGGGGTAGTACAGATTTTCATTCCTGACGCCCCAATAAGCGAAACAATTCTGCAAGAGATTTTCGGGCTTCAGGGCCAGGGTTTTAGGGTTGGGTGGGGGTTTGGGTGGGGGTTCAGGTCGTGGCTGCCTTAAGATTGACCATCAGCAAATAGCACAGCCCCGCCACCAAAAAATCACCCCAGCCAAAAAAAAACGCATTAATTAGTTCACCCCAATTTTTTTGTCAGATTCGGAATTAGCCCCGGAGCCGACGCATTAAAGGGGCCTATATTCCAAAACCGACACCCACATTAAGGCTTTTTGAAACATCAGCTCTGTGATGGGGGGTTCGGTGGTGTTCCGTTAAACGAGACCCTTGGAGGTAGTAATGACAGGAGACCTTAACGTGCTCTGTTAGAGGTGCTTTCGACCTCACCACATTGGTGCGGCTACGTGCCCTGGGTTGTTCAGCCACCAGCTCGAACTGGAGGGTTGCAACATACGGGCCTTCATAATTGGGACTGGGTCTTGAGGTAGACTATAGTCTTGGTAGAGACAGGATCTCTGAGGAATGGTAGTGGTATGTATTGGCAATTGCTTTGTCCCCGATTTCAGGCAGGCAGCAGAGGTTGTGTTCTTCCTTGTCTTTCTCCGTGCCTGTCGTGTTGAAACACTTTCTGGGTGGCCAGGTACAGGTGGAGCGGCACAAGAGAGAGCATCACAAGACTGAAAGTATTTGCTCGTTTGAGGCAAGGGGCCACTGTTTTGTGTTTTACTAGATCACAAGCACATCTTGGTTAGCCTTTGTTAGGGAATTGTGTGCACTGCCGGCCCTTATCCCAACTTCCCGTAGGCTTCGCACTCGACAGTCTCCCGACGGGCGCGGGGGGCTTCAGACTCCCTGTGTGTTAGCATTCTAGCCTCCTGAGGAAAACGATACTATTGCCGTCCTGAGAGGGTTTTAAATGATTCGATCGACATGACAAACGGTTACCGCGGCCCAGATGCTGCACCCATGTAGGCCAATAGAATAAAGTATATAGCATCACACTGCAAAACCCAGCAAGACATGCTGTATCACACGTAGCTTCTGAGACCAAGGCACTTGTTTCGCATACTTAAGTCAAGAGTCTAGGCCCTGAACAACCGCCGGGGGTTCAATGCAGTTCCCCCCCCCCGTCATTCGCCCAAGAAATGTTTTGCTCAGTGTCTTCGAAGCCTGCGGGGGTTTAGGGCAGGATTGTCCCTTTGGATGTCTTCTTATGCAAGACTTAACTAAACCTGAAATCCAGCTTCTCCCAGGTTTGTGGTTCCTCCGTGCTGGTTCGGTAAGCCATCCAACTCGACGGAGCCTTCTTTGCACACAGGCAGCTGGCGATGATGGTCGGTATGGTATGGGGTATGGGGTGACCCGAAACTGCCCTAAACCTTCGAACACCCTGGTGGCTTACGGGGGAGCTACACGAACAAAAAACACGACGAAGCAGGACCTAGAAGGTTTCGGCCAGAAGGTTTCGGAGCGCACCTAGAAGAGCATAAAGGCATAAACCCTACACCTTCAGCTGGACCATTTTTTGGATTGTGCTGCTGCAAGCCTGCCTTTGTCTTGCGCAGCCTGCAAAGTCAAGATGTGAACAGGGAAGTTCGGAAGGGAGGCTTTCGGATTGCTCAGAGGTCATCCGCATTCCAGAACCGCCTTTGAGGCCAGACTCTTGCATAGGGTTGTTGCTCGCAGTTGGCATTCACAGTCTTTTGCATACATGCGACGTGACGTCTACAGTTAGTTGAACTTAAAGCTTGCTTCTATACACACCACGCAAAGGTCGGCGCGGATGGCAAGCCAGATTGGTGTATCCTGCCAGCCACGGGTTGTCGGCGAACGGACGTAGATGATGGGGGGTACACTCTACAAGATTTTTTATGTGTGAGCATCCATGGATCGGCCGATCGAGATATCTATCTGCCTGTCCGTCTTGGCTTTGTTTGTCTATCTATCTATCTATCTATGTACCTATCTACCTAACCATCTAACGATCTAACTATCTACCTATATCTATTCCTCCCGTGTTTCACTTCTTTCTGTGTCTCTGCCGAGATCCTTTCTTCTCTTCATTCATGTACATATACTTACGTATATATACACACATACAGATCTGTCTACATCTCTGTCTGCATCTACATCGTCTCTACCCGCATCATGTATCGTATGTCTGCCACATCATACGTCATGCACAAAACATGTATCATCATTTTCGATATATACATATGCATACCTTTTGTGCTTCTGTGCTGATTTGTATGTATCGATCTAAATGTTTCGCCAATGGTAGAAAAACTATGACATCTATCGAAGCTAAGATATCCTAAACCACCCCAGCCTAGCCCCACGTAAGGAGATTGTTTGCCTAATCTGACTGACATCTGCTTATCGTCTAACCAATCTACTCAGTCTAGTCTAGTCTAATCAGATAATCTAGTCTAACCTTCTCTAGTTACGTCTGGTCTAATCGATGCTATTCTGTGGTACTCTACTCGATCAACCGACAGGATGAGACTCTATGTGCGCACATGTTATGTTTCTACAAGACAGTAAACAAATATAAATATATATATATATATATTCATTTATTTATACTTATGTACACATGTGAATGCACATATACATGTATGTACGTATGTATGTATGCACCTATGTTGACCCTTTGCCCAGAACCTCGCCGGCATTTCGGTGACTTGAAGGGTCATGTGGTGTGTCCTCGGCTTCATTTCAGCATTAGTTGAACGAAGCGCGGGACCCTGATGCTCATGCACGCCACATAAATCGTAGGATCCTTGCACGCCGACCCTTGACGTGACGCCCCAAACTCAACAATTGCGTGGCCCACCAAGAGATCTTTGGTTAGCCTGCTTGAAGAAGGTTCCTAACCCTATAGGTTGGTTAGCCATCAAAAGGTAGCTACATCGGAGAGTTCGACCTGCAAAACCTTTTGGACCATGATCGAGCACCCTTGAGGGATTCAATATTTTGGTTGCAGGTCAGTAAGCAACCATTGCAGTAGTGCTCCTGGCTGCATGATGAGGTAAGTGGGTGCCGAACCTCAGCAAGGGCTACGTGCCGGAGTGTGCGGGGGGAACTGTTGACAGCGTGACTGGCAGCGGCGTGGCAGGCTGGGACAGAGTATCGAAAGCTGAGGTGCCTTTGTTCTAGTGTCGACTCTTGCATGGGCATCATGTTTGCATCGCCTGCCCATTGTGGTAGGATGGCCCTTGCTCGCCTGGTATTGCTCCAGTGAGAAATCAGAACTGAACAGACAGGAGAGATCTTTTGAAGCCCTAGAGCGCCAGACCCTGAAACCCCCAAAACCCTAATACGACGCACAAATCGAGAAGTGTACCAAAATACAATGGACTATGTGGAGCCTCGCCTGCCTTGTGCGAGAGTGAGCGTCGAAACCCCGAATCCCCCAAAACCTTTAACTCTGGACTCTGAGACCCCGACTTGGAGGTTCATGCGTAGTTATAAGTAGGGTAGCCTTACTTCTAGCCCATATTAGGGGAGTTATAAACCCCACTTATAACTACCCATGAACCTCCAAGGAACCTGCAAACTCGGGACTCTGAAACGCGGTGCAAGACACGTACTATAGGGGCCTCAATAATTACCAATTCTATTTTTGGGGGTTCCTTAGTATAATTATTGTATAATGGGCCCCAAAAACCCTATTCAAATTAAGGCCCCTATATTAGAGAGTAAGCGCGAGCGTAAGCCGTTTCAGAGCCAGTGTGGGCGGGTTTAGGGCTAAGGGTCTTTGTGGGGAGAAACCTAATTACCTTGGACCCTATACCTTAAACTTAAGCAGTATCTACACTCTACACCTTGTGCTGTTTGAAGATCTGCTCGGAAGGTTCTGCAAGTTATGGCACCAGTTTACTGGAATAGATGTGCTACTGAGTCATCTTGTAAGCCAGTAGGAAGGAGACTCCTTCAAGACGAAGGTATACAGTGTTTGAACCCTCAACCGTGAACCCTTAACTTACATAAGTTTTGCCCGGCAAACCCGGCAGCAAAACCAGCTTGATTCGTGTTGCTTCGCACAGTCCCTGTCGACGCAAACGGCGCTCCACTTCCAGCGGCACGCCGGGGTGTTTTGAGGGCTCAGAGAGTCCAATAAATTGTCTTCTACCCTTCAGTAAGGATCTCTGCCAAAAAAGTATAATCTCAGGGTATTCACCCTCTTGCGTCGCAAATATTTGGAGGATAATTTATAAGATACTCAGTCTGCTGGTGTTGAACCATACGACTTCCATTGTAAGGTAGCGTCCGTTAAGAGCCTCGCAGAAATTGGGCTGCAGCACCCCTAAACCCAAAGTGTTGAAAACCAATCCCGATTCTCTATGTGAAGCCAACATCTGCTGACAGACGACAGCTCAACCGGATTGGCTAGTGCATGGAACTGTTTGATGGCTGCAACAGGCGTTTAGCTGCAGAGGGCAACCACCAAAGCGAAACATTCCTTTAGGCCATGCGCACACCCAGGGGGATCGTTCCGCTGAAAGGGTCCAATTACTTAGTAGAGTATGCTTGGGGGTTCATGGGTAGGCATAAGTCTTAAGTGGGGTTATAAGTCCCCTAATGTGGGATATAAGCATAGTTACCCTACTTCTAACCTTACTTATGACTACCCATGAACCTGAAAGTACACTTGGGGGACCCAAATATATACGATGTACCTACAGAGTTGGTGCTTGGACCTTTTGGCTAGCTTTCAAAAACCCTAAACCCTAAATCCTAAAAAATCCTAAACCCTAAACCCTAAAAGAGAGGCTAAAAGCAGAGCCGAGTGTTGCGGCGACCATGAAGTCGGCTTCGACTTCCCAGCGCCATTTCGTCCATCCGAGACTACGGGACTTACCTTTGGTTAGTAGGGAATGGGTCGGAATGGGGGTTTTAGGGCTTTAGGGATTTAGGGTTTAGTGTTTGGTTAGTAGGGAATGGAGGAATGGGTTATAATTAGAACTACTATTGCTACCATTCTTCCATTCCCTACTTACCGAAGGGTGGATAAGGGGACCCAGCGATAGCGATCCGATAGATACCGCTATCTGGATGGCGGGTGGTGCCCCGGTCTCGGAAGCAACCGGGCAGCTCTAGGCGCGAGTCGAAGGCCAAAACAAATCAGCCGAAGGCGGCATTCACCGAGATCTTCAAGGTGACGTTGCCGAATCGTCGCCACAGTGCTAGCTCCTGGGGATGAGGGTTTAGGAGCCAGGATTTATGCAATCGGTCATGCGGACTGTCACGAAGCGCAACACTTGGCGACTAAATGGATGCCAATTAAGAATTAACTCCAGTTAGGAATCAGGGTTTAGGGTATGCCCTGGCATGATCTGCAAGTCCGCAGGGGCTGATGTCTTCCGGGATGATCTTCGCTTGGTAGCTTCTTGCGCTCCTACTCCTGTTGATTGCACCATCCACTCATGTGGTGCCTCGTTTCTGGGCTCGTCTGCTGCCCTCTTTTTAGTTCCACTCCTGGTAATGGAAGGATTCTATGAGGAACCATGCGTAAGAGCTTGTTGGCATGATCGGGACTAGTGTCGGGTCCCTTGTGGCAGTCGTTTCGGCGACCCAAGGACGGACCATAGAGTCAGAACACATCAAACTAAGCATGTGAATGATTCAAGTTAATCTCATCCTGCCTCCTTAACCCAGCGCCCAAGATCTCCATCGAATATGGGTCGCAATGAGTACTTCCAGTAATCCCTCATGGTCCCCATGCAAGCGTTTTCGGGCGCGAAAGCCCCGAGGCTTGACCATAAACGGTACCTGAATGCCCCAGAAGCCTACCCATTTCAGGGTTCTTTGTTGTGACCTCCTTTTCGCGTCCCAAAGAAGACAGGTTTTCCAGGGTCAAGGTGCAGCCGAAAGTCCCAAGCCCTGAAACTGTATGGGTTCTTGCCAGAGTTACCCTACATTTAACCCCAACTTACCCCAAGAGTCCACGTACCCATGCCGTACTTACTTTGGCCCTAAAGTACCTATACAGGGACTACTTTAAGACCAAGGCCAAAGTACATACTATATGGGAGTTTCCGAAAATGAGGGGTGCCTTCTTTTGGGGCCCTCATCATAGGGATCCAATATTTAGAGTACCATATTAGGGTCCCGTATTGTCGGAAACCCCTATACGGATCTTCAGGTTACCGCCATGAGCCGCCAAGTAGACCCTAAATCCCTAAACCCCACATTGTATAACTACCCATGAACCTCCTAGTAGAGCCTGAACCCTAAACCAAAGTATTATGACTACTAGCCTAGGGAAGTCTCACAAAACAAACTCCGAACCATATGCCTCGCCTGGATTGTCCAAGCGTGAGCGGCGAAACCCTATAGAGACCTTGCGGGAACCCTGCTTATGACTAATTCCCAGAGGCTCCATAGTAGTTCCTTTTAGGTTCTAAGTATGAACCCCCAAAAGGAACTACACTGGAGCCTCTGGGTAATGAACCTCCCAGTGCAGACCTGTTGTCCTTGCCAGACTGGCAACTCTCCGGGTCAGCCAGACTGGTCCAGGGCTTGGCTTCTGCAGCCTTAGGGTTTATTGGGTTTACTGGGTTTAGGGTTTACTTGCAGGTTGATGGGTAGTTTTAAGTGGCTTTATAAGTCCCCTAATATGGGTTATAAGTATAGTTACCCTACATATAACCGTACTTATAACTACCCCTGAACCTCCAAGTAGGGTTTAGTATGTTGAGTTGAGGGTACATAGGGTGTAAGGTTCCGGGTTTGGGGGTTATAAGAGTCGTGTCTTGTAGGAAGCCCGCGAGCACACGAAGAACCCACCTCACACACCATCACCCTGCATGTTACTAGAACTTTAGAGTCTGTATGCTTTCAGACACTTGACTCGCGTTCCCAAGTGCTATTTCGAAGCCTGTCGAGCTGTGCAAGCCTTTATCCTGAAACCGTAAGCCTCAAGTAAGCACTGAATGAACCTCTAACCCCATACTGTAGTGGCCTAAATAGTTGCCTATACTATTTTGGGGGCTCCTTTTAAACATGTAGCACAATGGGCCCAAACCATATTCTAATTATTAAGGCCCCTGTATTTCCGCGAGATTCGAGTCGCCTTCCGACACATGGATCCATACTGACATCTCTAAGTTTTTTCCCGAAAACGAGGGGTACCTTATTTTGGGGTCCTTATAATAAGGATCGTACTATTTGGGTGGTTGTCAACATTATGTCCCCTTTTGAGGTACCCTAAATCTTAGGTGCCGTAGTACCCTACTTTTGACAACCATCCATTTAGGGTACTGTATTTCCCGGCTTTCGGAAACTCCCATCTCTGTGTTTGCCGAGTGCTATCCAAAGCTTAGCCGATAGCCGTCAACCATTGCCAACCATGAACCTTCAGCTTCGATTCTTCTTCCTCAAGATGGCTCAAGATGACCTTACTATACTACCGTTGACCATGATATACGTTACTATACTTTGCAATAGTTGTGCTATACTGTTGTATGTTGGACTGTATTCTGCCAAACTACAATATTGCTCGAACTTTGGTTTCATGAACTCCCGACGGATCCTGTGCAAAAGAAGAACCTGAGCGCAAACTATGCGCCGTGCCACAGCGGGAGCTGTGTAGTGTGTACCAGATTTTTCGGGGAATAAGCTCTACGGGTACTAGCCCGAAAAGGGTTTAGGGAGTTAGGCATTTATCGGTCATAGTTTACACAGCGGCCTCCTGCAAAGGTGCAAGTGGGTCCCCTTCGCTTCGAAGGGCTACGTCCCCGACTGCAGCAAATGAGATGCTGCTGCTGTCGCTGATGCATTGCAGTGTTTTGTCAAGGATTTGCTAAGGATCCGAGTCAAACGGAAAACCTTATGAAAAGCTGAGCTGTATCATATTATATTCAAGCCGCTCAAGCCCGAAACCCAAGCCCAACAATCCGAACCGTTAGCCGGTACCCACGATGTCAAACTACAAGAATATATACTGTAGTGGCCCAATGCCTATCCCCCGCCATTTCTTTGTCGTACAGTGCACAGGATTTCCCGCTGTGGGTAGGTGACAGTAACCTTGGGGGTCAAGTGCCTCGCAGCCATATGTATACATATGTATACATATATATATATATATATATATATATATGTATACACCCGCTTATGTAGTACTAACCTGGTGATACCACAACCCTAATAAAGCCAAGAATCCCATCATTGATCATCGGGACGCTTGTGGTAACTTAACCCTTGGACTTAGACTCGACACCGTATTTAAAGTCTAAACTCCAGACCCTAAAATCTGAACCCTGAAACCAAGAATCGAAAACCGGGGACCTAGCGGACCTAGCGGGTTCTAATTCCTGAAACTTGAGTCGGGCTTGCATACTTGACGGTGCGTTGGGAATAGTGAATAATTTGAGGTTCAGCCAGGCACCATTTTCGAGCTTAGGGTGCGTCCTATAAGGTTGAATAACTTGCAGGGTCACACGACCTTTACGGATATGCCTTTTGCTTTCCGCATTGCGAAATCTACACTTCCCAGTGGTATCCGAGGCTTTTGGACGGCAGCTGCTGCGGCTGGGGCGATCTGCTAGACATGGGACGTCTGCATCAGGAAACCGAAGATGCAGGATTCCAGCGGAGACTGGTTGGATTAGGATTGAGGGTTTAAGGTCCCTAGAGCTTCCCTGCCGGCATACACTCCAAGTCCGTGCTCAAAAAAACGGGTTTAGGGTTTAGAGACTGGTTGGAAAGGAGCGTGAGATAGCAAGGTTTGCGGGAAGTGCTCGTGCAAAGCTCCAGCTGAGATGCCTGATACCTGCCTAACGAGCACCCTGAAGGATGTAGTAGAGGGGCCTAAAAAAATACCAATACTATTTTGGGGGTTCCTTTCTAAATTCAATTTTTAGTATAATGTGCCCCCAAAACCTATTCAAACACTAAACTCCTGCAAGCCCTTATAGTAACCGTTATAACCCCTGCAAAAGGAACCCTTTAAAGGACCCCATTTCTTATATTCAGGCCCCTATTTTGCCACATTCTACTGCCGTCTTCAGCTTCCATGATTTGGGTTCAGTCTTGCGAGCGTCACATGTATGCATGGGAGTGTCGGCTGCGGTTGCTCCAACCTCGCCCACGCAAAGCCCAAGCGCGTAACTCCTAGACCGTTCTCTCTCCCAAAGGGTCCAAAGTACCTATATAGTAGAGTGCAGGGTTTCTATATTAGGAATTGCTGTTATGGGAAAGTATCCCCCATAACAGTACCTAGGATAATTTGGGTCTAACTAATCCCCAGGACCCTGCAAACCATTGATCTCCGCACTTGGAGTCTCCGACCCCAAGCATTGCATGTTCCAATGATACTCCATGATCAACATGGGCAGTTGTCACAATTATGGCCCCCCACATATTAGGTGCCGTACTATGTTAGGTACCCAGAAAAGGTACCATAATTTTGACAACCACCCACATGAACATCATCACTTCTTGTTTGCTCTTTGATCACCATCTTCCTGGTTGTGCCGTTGTTGTCACTGTGACGCGTGAGCTTGGCTCGGCAGGATATCTTATGGGTATCCGTAATACTGAGCAACAGCATTCATTCGTATCCCCTGTAACCCCCTCTATATTGATCTCATTACAACACAACCTTCCCCAAAACCCTAGTCTAGCTGTCAAGGTGCCTATATTGGACACAGCCGCTGCCTGACCTCTGCTTCAACCCCTATGGCCTCAGCCACGAACTGCAGTAAATGCAGGTAACCCTTGCAGAACGTCACCGAGAGAAATCCTAACCCAGGAAAAAAAGCCCGAAGCCCTAAATTCACGCACGCGAAGGCCGAACGACAAGCCCTCAACCCCTAAGCACCGAAGGATGCCCCCCTCTCGACCAGCAGCAAAGTCCGAGGTTTCCTAGAGCCCCAGATGGGAGTTTCCGAAATTTGGGGGTACCTTGTTTTGGGGGTCCTTGTAATAAGGATCCTACTATTTAGGGTACTATATTGGGGTCCCCTATAACTCCCAAATAGAAGGGCCTGAATAACAAGAACCGTGGTTTAGGGCATAGACTAATATAGGGACCAAAAGGGCATGTCATTAAGCCCCAAACCACTTTACGGGTCGGTGAATGGTTGAATGCGCTGCCGCCACGCCACGGCAGCGCTTGGCTGCTGTCGCCCACAGCAGTTGGCCAGAAGCTGCGGCTTTGACACATCAATCTGTCTCCCCCCAAAAAAGGTCCAAGCACCAGTATAGTAGGTTCTTACTAGATATTTGTGCCACCCCCCAAAAAAACACAAAAATATACTGTACTGCACTTGGACCCTTGGGGTCCAATGTAGCTGCATGATTAGTACCCATTTCCTTATACTAGACCCCAAACTCCTGTTACTCGAATTGTTGAGGCCCCTGCAGAAAGGATCCAGTCGTAGCCGGGGTGCAAAGATTTGTGGGGTTCCACCGTGTTGAAGGCAAGCTGCTGGAGTTGTTCATGTGTCCAAGCTTGTCGTGGGCCTTTCCACTAGTTGAGTTTTAGTAGTTGAGTTTGTGTAAGATGCAAACAACAAGCAAATCAGATGACGACCCGAAGTGAGTCATCAATTTAAGTGCTGAGGCGCTAGAATCCTGGTTTTTCTGAGTAAGTTGCGGATGCAGTCGGTGTAGCCTAGGGCTCTAGGGGTTCAATCTGTGTTCAACGTCGTAGTTGTGCTGCACAGCTCGACTCCAAGCAGTTGCAGTGATCGCTTCCTGCATGTAGGCTGGTTAAGATTGTGTGAGTCTCTACTTTTCCGGTTTGCGCTATCCATACGGGCTTATTCATCTATCCGGTTTGAGCTTACGACAGAAATCTCCTCAGCTGCAATCTTTCCTTTTGAAGATTTTGGGCAACCGCAGTGAATTGTAGCTGGCTTGCAGCCCACATTGCGTTTCATTTTCTGGCTTTGTTATGCAAGCCTAAGGTTCTGTGAAAGTGCCGCAGCCATCCCACGTCCACAAGAATCCTACGTAGTATCCAGTGGGCTCGGGGATCCGGGATTTTTTGGGTGGCTTTGCGAGAAGCTCAAAGCCGGGGGGCAAAGAGCATAAGCCTGGGATTGTAATGGGAGTTTCCGAAGATTAGGGGTACCATTTTTTGGGGTCCTTGTAGTACAATAAATTGTGAGGGTCCCCTGTTTTCGGAAACTCCTATAGCCCAGTTAGACCGGCAGAGACTACGAGCCCATGCAGTCTCAGTGCATGCTGATCTTCAAAGCCAGTATTGTTTCTGATTTGTGATCCCATATACGAGACAGTGCTGACAAGATCATTGGTAATTACTTGTTTTAACCTGCTTTCCCCATTGCAGGACGGACGTGCTGCGTAGGTAGTATCCCTAAACCCTTCCCAGGTGCATGTTCTTCACCGGCTCCGCGATGACGGGCAGGCTGCGCGGCAGTAAGCGCTCGCATCGCCACGAGTTTGCAGGATTGGCTTAAGCTCCATCTCTATATACAGCTAATTCTAGTTGTGCCCGTTTGTACCTGTCACACGCTCGAGGCATGATTAAGGCCAACCACGAGGCATCAAGATGGATTGAAGGGCGATGCGTCAATGTAAACGAGCACTGAATTTGAAGCCCGAGCACAGACCCTAAACCCTAAACCATGCAGAACTTCGGCCACCTTATGAGCCCTCAAGCCTGAAGCATCAAAGCCCTAGGGTTTTCGTACAGAAGGGCTCAAATCCGAAGGCTAAAGAACGCTGATCCCTAAGTTACCACCTGAAACCCGAGAACTGAGAGATCTCCGAACTCCTCAGCCCTAGATTGTTTAAGCCCTAAACCCTCTCCTTGTCAGAAGCTGGACGTTTTCCACTTCAGCTCCGTGGCAACGTCCTGCGCACGAGCAGGCCGGGTTTGGGGTTTTGGGGTGTACGCAGGGCGTCGGGTTGCTTTTGGATCCCAAGACTTTTTTTCGTACCTTAAACTCCAAAGCCGTATCATAGGGTCCTTAGTTATCGTAGAGCGTGGGGTCGAAGTTATCGTCAAGGCCCCAAAATTCTAAACCCAATAACCTGGCCTCGGTTGTCCGAGTGTGAGCGCCGACACCCGCCCAAAACCCTAAACTCCTACCCAAAGGGTCCAGAGTACCTGTACAGTAGAATGTAGGGTTTATGTATGTTTATATAATTTAGGTATTAGGAATTACTATTATGATTTGGATAAGTATCTCCCATAACAGTACCTGGGACCTTTTGGGCTATTCCAGGAGCATGGAAGGTTGTCTTGGGCCTCCTGCAAGCGATGCAGCTCGCGGCGATCCTTCCAGATACGATCTACTGTAGCAGCTCGAGCTCATAGGTGTCAGGTTTAGGGACGTAGCAACTTGGAGTCGGTGGGACGGTGGGACCGGGTGGTGGTAGCGGTGGTCATATTCTAAAGCAGAAGCAGGGGTCGCAGGGTCCAGCATGTGGAGTTTGATGTCTCTTTCTTGAGTGCCAAACGTCAGGCCTAGCATCATAGCATCCCTAGGCCCTAAACCCTACTTTGAAGAACTACCCAAACGTCGAGGCTCTCGGTCTCGGGGTCGAAGGGACTGAGGAACGAGCCTTCGAGCTCGGCTAGGGTGGCTCCCTCGTCGGGGTCTTCAGCCACCGGTGCAGGGTATTTTGTAAAGGGTCCTATAAATTCTATTTCAGGCTGAGTCTAACAAGAACATACCAACAGCAAGTAGGTTAGGGTAGTTTGAAGGAGGCCATCAAGCCCAGCAATCATCATAATAATACTAGCACTCACAAAGAATGCAGTAGTCATAAGAATAGATTGTGGGCGCGCAATAAGAATGGCAATAGTTCTAATATAAGTACAATACAAAAGGTCAGTGATAATGATACTAGCAATAGTCAATAGTACTAGTAACAGCAACAGAAATAGTAGTAGTAATGCTAATGCCAATACTACTTCTAACAACCGTCATCTTCATAATCGTTCTACTAGTAAAACTAGTTAGTAATAACAATAACAACATGACAACATGAACAGCAAGCTAATAACAAAAGATACCAGCAGCAATAACAATTAACCACGAACAGTAGTTATAATGATTGCAAAATACTAGTTGTATGATGCTGCATTGTCAAGTTATTAAAAAGATGTTTTACCTGTAGTAGTAGTTTTATACGTATTATAAGCCTCAAGCCCTTCGCCGAGGTATCGCGATCAGCGCCTGCGGAAAGGCCGGCGCCTGGAGGAGCGCCCTGCAAGTCCTCGCGGAGATGCACCAGAAGCGGAGCTTCGTCTGCAAGGGAACTTGCGGGTTTTTGCTGTTCAGGGCTTGTGGCTTTTATGGGGTTTATCATCGGGTTCAGGGGTTTGGGTTTTGCAGGGCTGGTTTGCGGCGCGTCAGCACTGCAGTTGCTGCGCTGGCATCCTGACCTATCTAGGCCCCAATCAACACTTTGCTCCCAGAGTGCAGGCCAGGTATTCGCCCAAACGATTCCTGGACCTCCTTCTGGTAAGGCTTAAGGGTCCATGTGCTCGTACAGCATCTTTATATACTTTGGCCTTAACGCCCTTAACGCAGTCTGTGTATAGGTACTGAGACTGAGATGGGTACATGGACCCTCGGGTAGCCCGGCTGATTGTGCGTTCCGCAGCCAACAGCTTCCCAGAGAGAGTCCTTCCATGGTCCGTCTTCTGCGGACGCCACGGAAGCCAATTCAGCGGGCCCTTCGGCTGGGAAGCTGGGTATTGAACAGAAGATGCCCTTTTTCCTTCTAGGGTTTAGGGGCCTAGGTTTGGGTGCTTTGCCGTGGGCTTTGAATGCCTCCGCCGCGTTTTAAATGGAGATGCCGGTTTTTCGGAATTCGGTAGTGTTTGAAACCTAAACCCTAAACGTAAGGAGTCTGGATTGCCCGAGTTGCGAGAGCGTAAACGTAAGGAGTAGCCTGTGCTTTTGGGGCCGGGGTCCTCCGCCACTGTGCAGAAGCATCTGCCTTCAGTGCCATGGCGCCACTCGGTGGTACCAGTCATGATGTTGGTGGTTTAGAATACATAATTACGTAATTGTATTTGTAGATATGGTCTGTTGATGACAATATTTTTCCTTACGTACACTGAGAACTTGTCTGAAAAGTAGATGTATTAATTATCATGACAAGCTCTCAAACGGTTAGTTTCGTATGGAGGCTGTCAATCCAGCCAAGGCATTTCTATCCAGTTGGGAAGCCTGGAGCTAAATGGGAGCTGCCAGAGAGAGAGGAGTGGTTGGCAAGACAGAACATCAAACGGCCGCCGGGACGGGAATTCCAATCTGGGAAAGTGACGGGTCCACTTCACGGTTGAAACTTTGATCTTCGTGTTCCATGCAAGGGCACTCTCAGAGTTAGCATGTTGTCACACGTCGTGAGGGCAACAAGGTAGATCTTTAGGTTTTGGGGTTGAAAGTATGGTTCCTAGCGCTGCGCATGGTTCGAGCGCCGGTGTTTCCCGATGCCCATCTATGCGCCCAGCACATTTCCACAGCTGGCCGTAAGACCTACAGAAGTAGTCGTGGTTTGAAAAGATGACGTGACTGTCTAGGGGTCAGCATCTGCATAGACATGGTCAAGGGGATTGTCGAGATTCCAAATCTCATACCGGACCTTTGAACACAGCTATTGAAAGACTCTTGTGCAGTGGAGGGGGGGGGCCTTAGGTGACAGAAATCATGCGAACACTGGGTTCATAAAAGCTGTCCGCAGGTGACTTGGGACAGTTTGAGCCATTCGTGGCTACCGGTTGTTCTGTTTTCTTGCCTCATTAGGTCCTACCACGAGGAGGTGGTCTCAAAGATCAAGAAGCTTGAGGGTGATTTCGAGGTTCTTCAATACGGTGCCCTCTCCTATGACACAGAGACATATCCCCTTTTTGCAATCAAGACGCATGGCTTCGGTACGACCGGAAAGCCTGTTGTTCTGATCACCGGCGGCGTTCACGGGTATGAGACCAGTGGAGTGCAAGGGGCTCTCCGTTTTCTTGAGTCCCGGGCCAAAGACTACGCAGGTGACTTCGACATCTTGGTTGCCCCATGCGTTAGCCCGTGGGGGTATGAGACCATCAACCGATGGAACCCCAAAGCAGTGGATCCAAACCGATCCTTCAAGCAGGAATCGGATTCTGAAGAGGCAGCTGCTGTCATGAAACTGGTAGCAAGTGTCAAGTCGCCAGTGCTAATGCACATAGATCTCCACGAGTCTTGGCTTAATTTCAGAAACCTTGCCGAATGCTAACAAGCCCAGCAGCAGTTCGTGTCAGGAAACCACAGATACGGACGAAAGTGAGTTTCGCCCTGCGAAAGCTTCTCGCGACGGCACAGAGTACGTTCCCGATGGGATACCTGACGGTTTCTATACTGTGGCTCAGTGGAAATTCAGCTGTTACTGCTGATCCGTCGTCCGCAAGACACTGATCAAAACTGGATTCGTGTTCCTATTCTTATACTACCCTTGTGGTGATCGACTTAGTGATACTGGACATGACAGTGGCAGTCATAATTACCGGTAACAGTAGCAGCAGGAGTAGTAGCAGTAGTGGTAGTAGTAGTAGTAGTAGTAGTAGTAGTAGTAGTAGTAGTAGTAGTAGTAGTAGTAGTAGTAGTAGTAGTTAGTAGTAGTAGCTAAAAGCTAGTAGCTAGTAGCTAGTTGCTAGTTGCTAGTTGCTAGAAGCTAGAAGCTAGAAGCTAGAAGCTAGAAGCTAGAAGTAGTAGTAGTAGTAGTAGTAGTAGTAGTAGTAGTAGTAGTAGTAGTAGTAGTTGTAGTAGTTGTAGTAGTAGTACTAGTAGTAGTAGTAGTAGTAGTAGTAGTAGTAGTAGTAGTAGTAGTAGTAGTAGTAGTACTAGTACTAGTACTAGTACTAGTACTAGTACTAGTACTAGTACTAGTGCTAGTAGTAGTAGTAGTAGTAGTAGTAGTAGTAGTAGTAGTAGTAGTAGTAGTAGTAGTAGTAGTAGCAGTAGCAGTAGCAGTAGCAGTAGTGGTACTAGTCGTAGTGGTAGTAGTAGTAGTAGTAGTAGTAGTAGTAGTAGTAGTAGTAGAAATTAGTAGTAGTAGCAGTAGCAGTAGCAGTAGCAGTAGTGGTACTAGTCGTAGTGGTAGTAGTAGTAGTAGTAGTAGTCGTAGTAGTAGTAGTAGTAGTAGTAGTAGTAGTAGTAGTAGTAGTAGTAGTAGTAATTAGTAGTAGTAGTAGTAGTAGTAGTAGTAGTAGTAGTAGTAGTAGTAGTAGTCGTGGTGGTGGTGGTGGTGGTGGTGGTGGTGGTGGTGGTGGTGCAGGCGGTAGTGGTGAAAGTAGTAGAACTGTCAGTGGTATTGGCCGCAAGGTAGTTTTCAGTGTAACGTCTCAGCGCGACTGATTGGTTGAGTCGTGGCACACAAAGAGAGGAGAGTTTCCGAATAAAGTAGCAGGTCAGCGTCAGGCGAGGCGTAGGAGTAGGAGTGGGCGACGACGACTACTACTACCATTACAACTAACTATCTGTGCAGCCCCAGGTGGGCGACACAGAGAATCCACAGGCCGAGTTCCAGGCTGCAATCATCAATTCCGTGCGGAAGGTGCATTCCCTGAAACGTTCTTCCAGGGGTCTACCGGGGTTCTGGTGCGGAGGCTCACGAGGGAGGCCAGCAAGGTTGTCAAGCTGTATCTCTGAAGGTTGATAGTCCCACACGGCACTTTGCGTTTCTGCATGGCGTGAGCGACAGAACGACTCAACTCACAGCAGCGGAAAGTTTTGGGCTTGTGACATCTAGTGGGCTGCATCGCAACGGAGCCCGAATCGCAACGGAGCCCGACATGGGTTCAGGCAGCAGCTATACGTAAGCAAAGTCAGCGAATTAATTGGCTTGCCCGTTATGCTTCGAAGGTTGTTGTCTCTGTATACGGGCCCTCCCTAAACCCTAAACCCTAAACCCTAACCAACCCTAAGTTATCGAGTCCACTTTGCCCATCCCCAAGCAGGTCACCCACATCGCGCCTCCCGATGCGAGGGGCAAAATTATTGGCGAGGCGGTGGTCCAGGAAGGCCTCATTGCTCGGTTCAGGGTTTCCTCATTGCTGTCGTGTGTTTGCGTTCAGGGAAGGATATTTCCCAATCTTACCGCCCGTCTGTTGAGAATTCTAGACCAGTCAGGAACCAACCTTGTTTCTGCACATTTGTTCTTGCATTCGCATGTACGGGGAACCTAGTTTGTGGAATCAACGAGGCGGATGCTTGTACTTGGTTTTCCATGGTCATCGCCTCTGCCACGGCTGCTTCAACATTAAGTCGGCAGAATCGACAATTTTGGGCTTGCAGGGGGTCATCAAACAAGCGTTGCACTATCCCGTTGTACAGGTATAATTATAATGTCCCTATGCCGTTGAACTGGAAAGGCTGACAAGAGATTTCTGATAGATTCATCCTCACAACTAGATCTTTCTGCATCCTCCAACAATCCTGCGCTTGTGTGGCTTGTGCCAGCGACAGAGGCATCAGTCTTATCATCATGTGCATCGATATTCGATTCGAGCCTTTACCGATTGATCTCGCAGCACCGGTGCGAGTTTGGTGGATATACACGAAGTGCACGTTTTCAGGTGTTGTAGCACTGACCGCTGTATGGATACCCGCGCTGCTCACATAGCTTTTTTTGGGCTGTGGCACAAGTTTGGCATGCCTGTGGCCCCGGTGCCCTCAGCTCCTGGTTTCGTTTGAAGAGGAGATGCAAGGAGCATGTGCGACGAATGATTACCATTTCTGGTCGGGTAAGTGCGGGGTTATGCAGGGTTGCAGAGAACAGACTCATGCAGCAGTCGGAGGGTCTACTGCAGCAGGCGGTTGGAACAAGACCTGTTTGCAGGTGTCATGTTCCTCGTACTTCCAAGATTCAGTGAGTTGTTGTTTTGTTCTGGGCTCGGTCCTGTCATGGCGTTGCTGAAGTTCTTGCCTTAGCGGTTTGGTGTGACTTTTGCTACTGCAGCTTGGCTGATCTTGAAAGTATTGTTGCGTCTAGAATCGCGGTCATCCATCCCGGCTGCTACGGTGTGTGTGTGTGTGTGTGCGTGGATATCAGCTTTGCACCGTCACACTCGAGATTCCAGCTTCTCGCTGATGACCTTCATCCTGCCACAACATGCCACAACCATGGCAATAATAACAATATCCAAAGAACCCGCCCGAACAGAAACAACGATGGTGGTCAGCAGGCTGGCTGCTCAAAGCTACAACAGAAAGCCTCAAACCCTAATTAACTCCCAAGTCTAAACTCCACAATCATCATCCTAAGCCCGATTAGAACTCTAATCCCCGGAATCCTAAACCTCGAACCTGAACCCTCAGAGCAATGTATCCGAATGATTTGAAGGCGTCATCAACTACCCCGTGAAGTCATTGGGTCTCTGCAGCAGCATGACTGGGGCCAAGTTCGCCAGCACCACTGAAGTTTATCCAGATAGCCCTAAGGCCGGTCTGGGCGTGCTTTAGGCCTCTAATCATAGGAGGCCAAAAGGGGTTTTAGCCTATGGGGGTTTAGTAGGGATTAGGGTTCCCATAATAGGGCTCATATTAAGGAATCCCTACCCCAAGGATCTTAAACCCCCCTTTTGGCCTCCCATCATCTAATTTCAAGAGATTTGGTAAGGGTTCGTGTACGGGTCTTCCGTGGGACTTAGTGGGAGTTTGAGGGGCTTTCGACAGGCAACGAGTTTTGGGTGTAAAGGTTTTGGACGTGCATGCCACAATGCACAACGGTTTAGGGTTTAGGGTTTAGGGTCACAGGTTCCGGATAGTTTGCATAGGTGTCATGCAGCAAAAGTCGAATGTACGCAAACACGGTGCTTAGTGTTTGGTGCCCGCGGCCATGTACTTCCTTACTCTGTGTGGCCTACTCATGTAGAAAAAAGACTACTATGCTCACTAAGATTATTGTCCTCCCCATTGAGGTTGAAGTTAAGTACAGACCCTCGGTCAACATCCCAAGCGGTATCTCGGTTCGTCTTCACGGTGCATGCAATTTCTTAAGGGTCCATGTGCCCATACGAGTACCTATATAGAGACTATTATAAGCCTTCAATCCAAGACATAGTATACACAGGTCCTTACAGAAAGGTCCTTGTCCATACTGGCCTCTCATCGGCTGCAGTTTGTTTGCATGAGCGGCGACAAAGCCTGTGTATCATGCAGCGTTGCGAGTTGGATGGTCGTCGGCGTCAGTATGGTGTCTGTTAGACACATGACCGTATACTGCACTAATTTCACAGAGTAGATGTTGGCGTATACAAATCTAGGCATAGTAAGGAACTCCGAACGTGTACTATATCCGTTTCGGGTACTCCAGTCACTTTCTCAGCTGTTTATGGACAAGCAGCCTTGGCCTTGGCCCGGCGTTGCCAGCAACAAAGGCTAACATGCGAGAGCCCCAAACCCTAAAACTCCGAAGCCTTAAACCCTCAAAACCCGAAACCCTGCACCTTGAGCTCAGCACAGTTATATATCGACCCAGTTTACGGCAAGGAAGCGTGAGGCTTATCTACAGCTCAGCGAAGTGATGGATGGCTTCGCTTACTGCCCAAGCCCCAAGCCCTAAACACATAAAGGTTCCGGGGGAACAACTGGGGTCATTCTCCCACATTTCTGAGGTCATCAGTCACCAAGACCTTTTATCGACCCAATGCCTGCGAAGATACAATAAGTCATAAGGACCCTTAGGGGGGGTAGGGGGGAGGGGTGTAGGGGGCCTTCATGCCCATAAACAGGAATTAATAAGGCATATTTATGGAAGTATAGTCCTCTACCCCCTTGCCCGCTGCCCCCCTAAGGGTCCCTATGACAATAAGACTTCCCACCGCGGAGCTTGAAGCCAAGGCTAGGCAGCTGTCTCTAAGAGTCATTTTTTAGGCTTTAGGGCTTAGGTTTTTTTTTTTTTTTGGGGGGGGGGGGTTCGTGTGACCTTGCCAAAATACCTGCCCACAAATCAAAACTCCAATCGTCGTGCTCTGCTTCTCCTTACTACCGTTAACCTTTTGGGGTTTATAGAACCCTACCATAGTTGAAAAAGTTAACCTTTTTTGGGCTAGGGTACTATAGGGGCCTGAATAGTTACCTATACTATCTTGGTGGTTCCTTTTTGTAGTTATAGTAGAGTGGGCCCCACAACCCTGTTCTAATTATTAAGGCCCCCATACGGGAGTTTCCGCAAACTAGGGGTACCATATTTTGGGGCCCTTGTAGTAAGGATCCTATTATTTAGGGTCCTATATTAGGGTCCCCTGTTTTCGGAAACTCCCATACATCTCATCCCCTAAGTCCTAAGTTCTGGGAGGTCACCGACGATTTGTGCAACGAAGCACAAGTCGCTGCAGTGACGGGCGCACTGGAGTTTGTCAAGCAAGCCCTGGGTTCTTCTTAAGGAAGTTCACTTAGGTTACTATAATAGGGACCTATTGTGAATTATATGGCTTCTTTATTTTGTTAATTTAAATTAAATCAAACCCCTTAACAAGAACTCAGAAGCAGATGACAGTCGGTTCAAACGTTTAGGTCTCCCGGGTTCAGGGGTTCTGTAGGCGAAGTCATACGCAGGAACACCGTGAGTAGTGTTGGGACAAGAATGATGAGAATGGACTAGGCTATCGTGGGTATTAATCGGAACTGGTTAGGCCAATTTACTGTTTCGTCAGGTTTGATCTGTTTTCACATAGTGAGGTTAAGTTCCATGAAAAAGAAGCTGCTAGAGGCATAGCAAGACTAGCGATCCGCATGGCGGCAACCATTTTAAATGGAACCCCTCCGGAGCAGCAACGGGAAGCACCAATAATGATAACAGTATGTAGTGCAGCAGCAGTCGCAATCGCAAGCAGCCGTAGCAGTTGTAGTCGTCGTAGTAGTCGTAGTCGTACTAGTAATTGTAGCAGTAGCAGCTGTAGCGGTAGCAGTGGCAGTGGTGCCGGGCACTGGCAGTGGCAGTTCTAGTAAGTAGTTGTAGTAGCAGAATAATAGCAGTAGTAGTAGCAGTAGTAGTAGTAGTAGTAGCAGTAGTAGTAGTAGTAGTAGTAGTAGTAGGAGCAGAAGTAGCAGGAGAGGCAGCAGTAGCAGTGACAGTAGTAACAGTAGTCGTCGTCGCAGTAGCAGGAGCAGAAGCAACAAACACTAGCTGCAGTAGCAACAGCAACAGCACAATGATAATAAGTGAGTCGCAGCTCTCGTAGATGCCCACGAACACTGCCCGGTGTGAGACGGAGGTGTGAGGTTTTGGCGGTGATCCTTGTGAAGAGGTCAACTCTCATTGTCAACATCATGACTTGCAAAGACGTAATTAGGAGCCCGGTTGTTTCTTCAAGCACCTTTGAAGACTTTTTGCACAACAGGAAGTTAATTGCTAGTGCTTGACAGTCCCCTAACATGGCACGTGGCACGAAAAGGATTGGAGAGGTCATGTATTTTGGCAACAAGTATTTTTTCTGAAAACTGCGGCTCCAGTTTTGAACTTGAAGATACTAGATGCGGTGCCATGATGTTACAGGATTCGCGAAACAAGGCCGGGACTCTAATAACGGAATTCGGTCGATACAACAAGAGCCCCTAGGTTTGGGACCCATCGTTTCAATCGCGGCCTCACATGGGTCGTTGTCAAAATTAGGGTCCCTGTTTGGGTACCATGAATATTAGGTGCCGTATTATAATAGGTACCCAAAAAGGGACCATAATTTTGACAACCACCCATATGAATCGCTTCTGGAATTGCTGGGTTGATCTCTTTGAGGAGTGCAGTGATTGAACTTCGGCTCGCAGGAGTTGCTCTGGAAAAGAGTCAGCCCTCAGGGTTTAGGGCAGTTTAGGGTTTCGGTAAGGGTTAAGGGTTTCGGGTCTAATTAACAGCTCCTGCACCCCCCCTGCTTCAGAATGGGGAGGACGAGGAGTGTTTACTTCCAGCCATGTTTGATGAAGAGTTTTGTGTACAGTTTCATGAACTTAAACCCACTTCTTTAGTTTGTATTTTTGTTGCTCATATAAGACCCAAGAGAAACATATTGTCTCTATTATGGTTCTAAAGGGGGGATATATACATATATATATATAGAGAGAGAGAGAGAGAGAGAGAGAGAGAGAGAGAGAGAGAGAGAGAGAGAGTTTGTACCAAACCTGTAATTAAAGCCTTAGATTTGGATGTTCAAGCCGGCAGAACACTGAAGCCCCAAGCCCTTGAAACCAGGGGGCTTTGGGTTTCGGGTGCTCTTGGAAAAATGTTTAAGCCGGTAGCTAAACCCGCAACTTGAACCCTAAGCCTTGGTGAACCCTGAGCCACTGACCTTGAAGACCGTGCCGTTGAACCGTTAAGCCCCCGTGGAGCGTTAACACCGGTACTCCAATCCCCTAATCCGTGAAGCCCTGAACCTGAAAACAGAAAGACCCCCTTTAGATTCTATTGTTTTTTTAATCTTGCCGTATTACGGCTTTGAAAAGGCTTGCATGAGATGTTGGGTTTTCTCGTGGTGGCTTCAGATGTTCAAAGTGCCGTGTTTAGGTATCGTATTTGCAACAGGATCCTGATATCTAGTGCTCGAAATGAGCCCGCAGTTTTCTGAAATCCTCAAGATATTTCTACGGACTATAATTGCAAAACTTCTCGGGCTTTCAGCCTTATCAAACCTACGTATACGTACCCCCAAAGCCAAAACTTCACAAGCCCGTGAGGCTACAATGTAGAGGCCCAAGCATTATTCAGATGCCAGTGGTTTTCTGTAGGGTTCTGCCATGAATTGTTACCTCCAAACCCCAACGCCCACGCCACCCTAAACCCTAAACACATCAAGCCGTCATCATAGTGAGGACCTCTGAAATCACAAAGGTGCAGATGGGATTCGGGTCCAGGTTGCAGAGTTTAGAGGCTCAGTTTAAGAAGGTTTAGGTGGGTCAGCTTTAATCTGGCGCTAGGTCCTCAAAAGAATTCTGCATTTTCGGTCTTTTTGGCCTGGGGCGGTTTAGGGTTTAGGCGTGGTGGTGTACTGTGTTGCAAAGCCATACACCACTGTTTCCGGCAAACCCAGCTTCCCGGCAAGTCAGCTTTATGGTTTAGGGCTGGTTATAACTGTTTACATCTGTAGCATACCCCCTCAAAACACAATGTTGCTTGTTAATGTCCCTGTGCGACACCTTCATACTAACTCCTACCATTGTGAGGCGCATTCAGGATGTAATGATTTTTGATTATAGAGGACCAAACCGTAAACCTTGTAACCCGAACTCGGAACCATAAGCCCGGTGCTGTCAACGCAGCCAAGGATACAGGCGAACACCATCACTTTCAGCTGCTTAGCTTTTGGGATTAGGGCTTAGGGTATTAGCTTTCCTTTGCACTATGTTTGACCCTGGGTTTTCACTGCAACCCCTAAATCCTAAACGTTGGCCGCAGGTTGTTTGTCGGAAAACGGGCTGACAGGTCGGCGCAGGTTTGGGCTTTTTCCCTGTCAGTGTGGAGTCAATCC